ATATTTAAAATTAAATTGAATTCAAAACAAGTAAAAATCTGTTTTGATCTAATCCGTTGCCATCACTAATTAAATTCGGACTTTAGCCCTAAGAAAGACACGTCTTGTGTGAAAGAGATTGAGCAACCGAATCACTTAAAGTTCAGTCTTAAGTCCAAGATGAATGTGTATTTGAGCGAGAAGAAAATTAGAGAAAATAGAGAACTCACCAAACTCATATAATTTTCATTTCTTAACAGAATCATCATCATCATTCATCATAAAAGCTGATAGAAAAACCAAAAAGAAAAAGGCTCCTTTGTGCATTGTGCATGAAGAAAAAGCAACTCAGAAAGAGAGAACCGAAAAACAAGCGTATCTCCAAAATTCAAAAAGGACACAGAATTTCCTCATAAGTGGTCCCTGCATGAGCTAAGGTTGGGCGCGCCTTTGAGTAGCCCTTAAACTACTGAAAAGCTACCTTCATGTTCTGTCTCTTGTTTGCATCCCCCTAGCACTTTTCTCCCTCCCTCTTCTCATTTCACCTACAATTTTTGCCTTCATCTCCTCTATTTTTTTTTAAATTGAACTATTTATATATTTATATCACATTTATTTTATATTAAATATATGTAAAATATAATTATTTTTATATTGTATATATTAAATATTAAACATTTTTATTTAATTTTATATTATATTTATCTAATTATATTTTAATTAATTAATTTAATTATCAAATTATTTAATATACTATTTGATTATGATTATATCTTATAATTTTATAAAAAATTTGTGATTTCTTCCCTTGCTATTATTTCATTGATTAAGGTTCGGTGAAATGAGATAAACATTTCCAGGATATCACCAATCCGATTTTGACATGTGGCCCATTGCCAAAATATAAAGATTGATTGATTGATAGAGATTATGTATTACCAGATAATTCTCTATATTAGGATAATATATTATATTTCAATTTACAACCGCAGAAAAGGACAAGCTTAAGCAGGCTCCCCTTCAATAATTTTAAATCCCAAAGCTCGCTTGGTTCTGTCTTTTTGGTTTCATATATTGACAAACTTGTCCACGGTCCAATCAAATATGTCCAGCCATTCTCCGATAGGATCGTCATCTTTCCAGCTGTGTCGGTACAGGAAATACGAAAACCATCTAGTGTCAGAACTCAAAACTTTGGACCATGAATTCCTGATTTTAAGATTCTGTTGGCTTTTTCTCTTTCCCTTAAAACTTCAAGTAAAAGTAAGCAATGGTTGAAATATTCTAATTGAATCTAACTTTCCAGTCTTCTTTTATGATTCAATTTATCTTATAAAAAATAAAAATAAAAATAAACTCCTGATTTAATATAATTAATTCATATAACTTTTTATAAAAATTAATATTTAATAGATTTAAATTTTAAAATTTAATATCTATAATTTTCTTATAATTAGAATATTATATATATATATATATATAAGAAGACATCTATATCAATTGATGTTAAGTCTTGGTAGGGGCAAAACCTTGATAATTGCTGGCATTGAATTCAATTTCAACGTCCTACCTAGTTTTGTTTTAATTCATTAATAAAACTATGGAAGATGAAGAGTAACATCAGAATCGATTCTTGCGCCTTTCGTTACTTAAATAATATGGTAGATTGATTTATACAAGAAAAGCTTGATTGAGATCAATCACAAATAACCAATTCTGGAAGTAAGGCTTAATTTTCTATTATACTACAAGTCAATGTTGAATTCGGTTATTGTACTTCAATTCCATTAAATTTTTTATTTTATTGATTTTTAAAAATATATATTGAAATTGATAAAAATTTTCACTTGCATTAATGCATAGTCGTAGAAAACCTTGATTGTGATTACTTTTGTAATTTTGTGGTTTATCTCATTTCATAAACATGTGAAAAAAATATTACTCACATATAGAAGAAAATATTTTGTATCCTTAACCTCAATCGTTATCTGACTTAACCTCGCTACTTTAGAAATATGGTTGCAAAAAAATTTCTTAATTATCAATATACAATATTTTTGAACAATTAAAAATAAAAATCATTATCAACGTGCAAATTATTCAAGAATTGAAATATTAAAAATAATTTCAACTAAAAAATAAAATATGAAAAGAAACAAAAACATAAAACATTAAGTAATAAAACCAGTATTTTTAATAATGATCATAAATTAAATCATTAATAAAAATTAAGTAATTAAAACTATTAAAACTATAACTATGTCTTAAACTTTTATTAGTACTAATATATGAATAAGATTAAAACGTAGCTAATTATAGCTAATACGGGATATAATTGCTAATTGATTATAATATTATAATTTCTAAATATTAAATTAAATCAATGAAAATGACAAATAACATTTTAGAAATATAATCAACAATAATCCCTATTTTAATTAATTCAAAAGATTTTCCACATCCGACCTTTTATTATTATTATAAATATAAATTATAGATTGCAAATATAAATTACATTAAATTTCAATATATGATATAATTATTACATCTAATTGAAAAATCAATAAATAAAGCAACTAAACAAATAAATAACCTTAAAATTAATTATAGGAAATGTCATATGGATTTAAATTTATGATCTAAAAGTTTTAAAACATTCTAGATGGTAAATACAATTCAGATGATGTAACAATCGTATAATCTATTAATAAAATATTAAAATTTAATTCATGAAAAATTTTAAATATATTAAAAATATAAGTCATATGAATATATTGAAAAATTCATGCACGTAACATAAATATGTTGCACGTTATGTTATAAGAGATTAATTAAATATTAAAACAGGGTAAAATTTTGAAATCCATTTTAAGAAAGCTTTTCTCATTGGTCCCCGTCAAGATTAATTAGACATTACAACTAAATGCTACTATATATTTTATAATTTGTCCCCATTGTTAAGCTCCTGCTCTCATTGGTCATGCTTAACCAACTCCCTAAACGTCATTTTCCTTGCAAAATCTTTGAAATTCGACATGTTTGAGAATAGCAATGTTGGATTTTCAGTAAATTAAATTGTTTTTTTTTTTTTTAGCAGTTTTAAGATTAACTTGAAGGTGGGCCAAGGTCGAATTTGATCTTGCATTTTGTAATTAAAATAATTAAAGAAAGAGAAAGTTGAGCAACCTCAATTAACAACCACAAGTCTTATCCTTGATTGCTACTATTAAAACCATTTATTTGTGATGAATTTATAACTGTTAACTCGATGGTATTTATCACGTTAAGACATTCTTTGACGTTTTGATTTACGCGTCTCAAGATAATTGGTAAAATATATATGGTAGATATAGTTTCAAGCATAGTTGTCTGAGAATTATTAAGTTAATAAACTTTAAAGAATGATCGTGTATTTATTTATTTGACTTACTTGCGAGGAGAATTGTATTTATTTGAATAAATTGTTTTATTCAAAAAAAAAAAACGATTTATCGTGTAAAAAAAATTCGAATTAAAAAAAATATATATATATAGATATCAAAATTTTAAAAAATTAGATTTCAACACAAAAAAATTTACCAAAATGACCTTAAAGGTTTGAAATTTAGATGAAACTAAAAAATTTACAATTTTGGCGGTAGACAAAAAATCTTGACCCATATTACAAAATTTGAATGGGTGCTAAACCATACCCACGTAGTTCTAGAAATTGAAATCGAAGGGAGTGTGGGGCTTTTGGGGATAAAGAAAAAGTAGAACAGCAAATTTAATAGGGGCTGCCTGGCTGCCAGTTGTGCACGAAGCCATAGCAGCAAGAAAGCAATGACTTGATTCTCGAGCCTTGACCTTAGGGCAGCATGGCACAAATTTACCATTGGGATGTAAGGATGTACTTCTGTGACCGATTTAAGGAAGAATTTTAAATTTTATATCAAATATAATAAAAAAATATTTGAGATATAAAAAAGTTTATATCATTTTAATTTTATAAAATATTTTTTATAAGATAAAATTATGAAATTAAAAAAATTAAAATAAATAATATTTTATAAAAATATGAATTATAACAAAAAAAAAATTGATTTGAAATATTAAAAAAATAAATGCACAAATTTTAAAATCACGCGAATTCAAACCTTGAATCTCTGTGACTGATTGTCTTACAAAAAGTTTCACCCTTTTTGCTCGATTATTTGCCCTTGGTTTCAGGGCAGCCTAATTCATACATGCTGCCTTGCACGTGATCACCTTTCCCAATTCCCCAAATTACCCCCAACCGTCAATCATTTGAGCTACTGAGTATCCCAAAAACATGCCCACGTGGGTGCCAACTCTCTAAGGTCAATCCAGTCATTTTCACGACAAGAACGTGTAGGGTTATCAAAACTAGGTGTACTCTTCAACAGTTCAAGCTTGCATCAGGGGAAGTTGATCGCTGGAAATTGATGTTGCCAAGAAGACAAAGCAAGACGTCGTCGTTTAATTCTCTCTTTTTTACCTTCTCAATATAAAATTTCAATGAAGTTTCCATCAATTTTCTGCTTTAATAATTGGAGAAAGGAAAACAAAAAACAATAAATGAATGTTCATGTCATTAAGAAAATGTAGTTTCCCTTGAAAAAAAAAATTGTAGCTTCCACAAAACAAACCAAAAAAAAAAAAAAAAGTTCTCAGCTTCGTATAGAGTGAAACAAAGAAAAAGAGAAAAAAGCTCGAGTACAAGGTCAGTTGGCACTCCTTTTGTAGCATTCAATTCAACTTAACTTGCTTATACATTTCTGAATTCTCATAAGAATTTCCTATTCCACTCTGTTGCTTCAAAAAACACCTGGGTTCTTTGTTTTCCTCTGCTTTTTTGCCCTGATTTTTTTTTTTTACTTGAACACATTTTAGGTTGGTGTGGGGTAAACATGATTTATTGTAGACTTTAATGCGTTTTCACTTGATTTGCTTTGAAGTTTGCCAAAAAGGTTCTGTCTTTCCTTGTAACAACCTTTTTTTTTTGGCTCATTATTTTGGTGTTGTAATTATTAACATCAGCCTGCTCCCCACATTTCATTTCATCTTTCTCTTATCTTGAAGTTGAAATCTTCATTATCTTTAGTTTTTGTCCCTTAACCTTACCCAGGCTGCCCCATCTCGTTATTTTTCTTCCTTTCATTAGCTCTATATTATTAGCTGCACATGTAAGTGGTTCACTCTTTTGGCCTTTTGGGTCATCTTGTTTGCCCCTATTTTCTCTAGTTTGTTGCTGTTTAGTTACTTTCTTTAGGATTTGGGATCTGAGTAGTTCTCAGATTTCGTAGTTTACTCTTGCTGTCTCTAAGAAGTTGGTCTTTTGTACACAGAGAGAGAGAGAGAGAGTGAAAGAGAGAGATCATGGCGGGAGGAGCTCCAGCAAAAGCAGATGAACCACAGCCACATCCACCGAAGGAACAGTTGCCCAACATTTCTTATTGCATTACAAGTCCACCTCCATGGCGTGAGTTTCTTCAACCCCGCTGTTCTGTTTTTGTTTTATCTTTTCCTCGCTTTGACAGCTTAGATTCCAAATTTTATGTTCAGTACCTCAGGTATTATGTTAAGAGTTTTGGTTGGTTTACAGTGTGATTCTTGTGAATCCACCCGGGAATTTTTTGAGGTAGATTTTGGTATTTGTCATTGTTTTTGGAGGTTGTGCATCTTCTGTAAATTCTATTTTAGCTGAAAGTAAGTAACTTTTTTGCGTTCTTCTTTCGGCTCAGATACCCCTTTTTGGAAAAGTGAAATAACACTATTCTGCAAAAAAAAAAAAAGAACTTTCTTTTTAGTTTTTATCTGTTTTATATTCTAATTCTGTGAGGATGAGAAAAAAAGAAAAGAAAACATAAATACTTTTTGATAATTCATGTATTAATTTTGGGTTTATTTTACTGAAGGAGTAATATATATATATATATATATATATATATTACTTAAAAAAAAGAAGAAATCTTTCCCCGTTTCTTTGGTAACTAAGGATGGTAATTCTAGTCTTATGCTTATTGATTTGGTTAGAGTTAATTTGAAGCCAACTTCTCTCTGCTAATTGACTTTCTTTCGGTTCAATTTTGTTTGGCATTTTCCCTCTTCTATTTGTCTTTCACCTTTACTTCCTCCTCACTGTCTTCAATTTTCTATGGGTGTTCTATCTCTACTTCAAACAAATTGAGGGAACTTTAATTTATTTTCTTGATGTGGGTTGAAGATATTACATTACTATTTGGATATGCCTCCACTTGGCTATTATGTGAGTGACTGCTGCTATCATTGGCATTTCTACGTTGGTAGGAAATAATTGCAACTGATCTCTTGATATTTTGGTCGGGTATTTGATGCAGCCGAGGCCATCCTTCTTGGTTTTCAACATTATCTTGTGATGCTTGGCACGACAGTGATCATTCCCTCTTCTCTTGTTCCCCAGATGGGAGGTGGAAATGTAAGGCTCAAATAAAATTAATCAATATAAAGAAGCAACAATTGTTACTTACTTTGATTACTATTGTATTTTGTCCGCACATAATAATTTCAACCATGTTGTTGCAATGACCTCTATAGGAGGAGAAAGCAAAGGTGATCCAGACTCTGCTTTTTGTTGCTGGTTTGAACACATTGCAGCAGACACTGTTTGGGACTAGATTACCTGCTGTGATTGGAGGGTCTTATACCTTTGTCCCAACAACAATTTCTATTATCCTTGCTGGTCGGTTCAATGATACTACGGATCCTATAGAGGTTTTGTGATCTACTCCATTTTACTATATTAGGCTATGTTTATTTGGACTTTGGAATTGCTAAAGTTGCATATTAATTCGGAGAAGCAAGCATTTACCTAATTGCAATATGGGACAATTTCTATCCAGCTTGAGTATTATTGATGTGATACTTTATGTCTTCACTCCTCAACATCCCATTGAAAGAACAGTGTAGAGATGTTTAGAATGCATTCCCTTTTTTCTTAATAGGAGTTTACAACCCATTCTCATTTTAAGGTACCACATTCTAGATACTTTTGTAGTTTATTACTTGAATAGTAAATATACAGAAAAAGGAGTAATTAAGTTGTCCAGTTTGAACACCAACAATTTCCATATTGGTGTTTTCTTTGGTTTGTTTAAATATTGTGTTTTGATGCCTTTTCAGAGATTTAAAAGGATAATGCGGGCAATTCAGGGCTCCCTCATTGTTGCATCAACTCTTCAGATTGTCCTCGGCTTCAGTGGCCTTTGGCGTAATGTTGCTAGGTTAGTTCACTGGTGCTTAATATTTCAGGGAAAGCTTGAATGGCTTGGCTATATTTGCTTTTCCTTATAAGTAAATTGGAATTAGATTGATTGTATCTTGGTTTATATGTTTAATATTAGTTATTGTAGGTGGATTTTGTTTTTGAATTATAGGTTCTTGGACTAATACTTAGTTCATGCTGATTCACATGAATGTTTGCTACAGTATATCTAGAACAAAGTAAAATATTTTAGGGTGACTTTTTCAATAAACACATTTTAATCATAAGGGTTTTTTTTTCTTTTTTTTTTTTCCAGGTTTTTAAGTCCACTTTCAGTTGTTCCTTTAGTATCCCTGGTTGGTTTTGGGCTATATGAGTTTGGTTTTCCTGGGGTAAGTCTATGCTTTATATGATTGACTGTGAATGCATAGTCTGACATGGTACCATATCATGATTACCATGGTTGTTGACTATTTTTTCTATTAATAGGTTGCCAAATGTGTGGAGATTGGACTGCCTGAGTTAATTCTTCTAATATTTGTCTCACAGGTAGTATCTTATAATTTTTGGGACATGCTTTTATCCATCTTATAGTTATAGTCTTGCATATTTTTGACTTTTGATCTCAGTTGACTTTGGAAACTATAACTTTTATCAAATAATAATTGTATGTCTGTGTTTATTTTGCAGTACATGCCTCATGTGATAAAATCTGGAAGACACTTGTTTGATCGTTTTGCTGTCATATTTTCAGTGGTGGTTGTTTGGATTTATGCTCATTTACTCACTGTGGGTGGTGCTTATAATGGTAAAGCACCAAAGACACAAGCAAGCTGCCGCACTGACCGTGCTGGTCTAATAGATGCTGCTCCATGGTGAGTTCATGTAGCATCCTTAGTGAAGTTGTCCCCTTCATGTTTCTCAATTGGTATATCATGCATGACTCTACCTATTAATTATTTATTATGAGATGAGGTGCACTTGAAGAACTTTTGTGACTAGAGCACATTTTCTTAAATCATAGGGTTTCACAATCAATTCAATGGGTAAGGTCTCGCATTTTAAAGTATGGGTAAACTGATTTGGCAAGACTGGTGTTTATATGTGCTATCTGGGAAAAATTCTGCTGATACCAATTAACTATCTAAGTATATATTGGATAAAGCTTCTTGATGTACTAAATCCTAGCCCTACTTGCCTTCTATGAAATATTATTCACTAATTGGCTTAGAAGTGCCAAAAGTTTTGGGCCTGGGTTTGCTTCATAACTCCTAAGGTGTTATGAATTGAATAAAGATCTAAGGTACAAAAGGCACTTTTGGACTTGTGCTTGATAACAAACTTAAGATTTCTTTTACTATAATATGATATCATTCGTCAAGAATGGCATAGCTATAAGTCCTTCCTTACAAGAACTAGTGGTGTGCAGGATAAGAGTTCCTTATCCCTTTCAATGGGGAGCACCTTCATTTGATGCTGGTGAAGCCTTTGCTATGATGATGGCTTCTTTTGTTGCTCTTATAGAGGTTTGTTTTCTTCTGTTATTTATGAAGTTTTTTAACTTTTGAAACGTTTTCTTTTTTTCTTATTTTGATGTTTCTAAACTAAAAAACTGAATTGAGTGTCATTGTCATCGTTGTTGTTTTTCTTATTGCTGTCTTTTTCCTTTCATGTGATTTCTTACTGACTCTCCTTCACTGCCATTTATTTCAACCCTTGTTGTATGAAGTGGCTAAATTTTTTTCAGTTTCTCCCCTAGGGGGTAAAAGTATCACATTTTTCAGTTTTCTTTGGTGATTTCATTATTTATATTGCTGTTTAAACATGCATCAAAGCAAATTCTTTCATAATCTTAGGAAATTAATAGTTAATTGCAGTGTTATTAAATAATTCAAGGTACTAACTTTTTTCTTGTTGCATATCATGAACAGTCCACTGGGGCTTTTATTGCAGTGTCAAGATATGCTAGTGCAACTCCGATGCCTCCATCTATTCTTAGCCGTGGTGTTGGTTGGCAGGTAATTATATTAAGCTTGTTCCATATGCCTATGATGTGAAGAAATTTTTGCAATTAAGACTATAAGTTAAATTGGCTGTCTTATACTGAATGATGGCATGCGATTGCCCCACTACTAGCCTTGTGCCTAAAAGTACATGAATTCATTCATACCTATTCATCATCATTGGCCCAGGAGCCAGGACCTTGCATTTCCAGAACCATTTAACATCTGGAAATTTCATCTCCTTTTTCTGGACTTCAGTTTCATGTTAATATTAAATTCTTATCTTTTGTGAAGTAACTTCATTTCCCTGCTTTAGGGAGTTGCAATTTTGGTCTCAGGGTTGTTTGGAACTGTCAACGGATCCTCAGTATCTGTGTAAGGCTTTGACTAGCTATGAACATTATCGTTGTACCTTTTTTTCCCTGTTCAATTAATAAAAAGCAGAATTTGCATACTGACTGTGGTCTCTCTACAGAGAGAATGCTGGTCTTTTAGCCTTAACACGAGTTGGTAGCCGAAGGGTTGTACAAATCTCAGCAGGATTTATGATTTTCTTCTCCATTCTCGGTAATTTGCTGATTTACGAGATTTTGTTCTAAATTGACCTTGTGCATTTTTTCTTTCATGTAAGTTGATTTTTATAATTAATGTGCAGGAAAATTTGGGGCAGTCTTTGCTTCAATTCCAGCACCCATTGTTGCTGCTTTGTACTGCCTATTCTTTGCATATGTTGGTACGTGTCTGATTTGAGCTGTTCGCAAAGAAACATGTGGATCATGATTTGTTGTAAGCTCTTTCAAGTATTTATGTATTCTATTTCCTCGTGTTTCTGCAGGTGCTGGAGGTCTTAGTTTTCTTCAGTTCTGCAACCTAAACAGCTTCCGTACAAAGTTTATATTAGGCTTCTCTGTTTTTATGGGCTTATCTGTGCCACAGTACTTCAACGAGTATACTGCAATTAATGGCTATGGTCCTGTTCACACGGGCTCGAGATGGGTATCCATACTAAATCTCTTGTGACTTTTTAATCATATATAGCCTATTGTTATAATCCTTTTGTAGTTAACTGCAGACATGACAGTTTGCATATCTCTGTTGTGTCTGTTTTGTGTCAAATACTAATAAAATACAAAATGTTCCTGTCATAATTCATTTGATACGTCAAGTACAAAATGTATTTTTTGGTTTTTCCAAACTCATACAGTTGTCAAAAATTTAAACCATATTTTTATGTTTTTTTTTTTAATTGATTCCGTATCCTGTCTAAAATTAACAGGTTCTTGGGTCTTACTGACAAGGATTTTATGCCTTTGTTAACAGTTCAACGATATTGTAAATGTGCCTTTTTCATCAGAGGCATTTGTTGCTGGTTGCTTGGCATATTTCCTTGATAACACATTGCATCGCAAGGAAGCTTCAATCAGGAAGGACAGAGGTAAGCACTGGTGGGACAAGTTCAGGTCATTCAAGGCTGATCCAAGGAGTGACGAATTTTATTCCCTTCCCTTTAATCTGAACAAATATTTCCCGTCTGTGTGATATATGAGGTGCTGAGTTCAAGGTCGTGTTATCGAATATTTATCGCCTTTTGTTTTGTTCTTGATGGCCCTACGTGGCTCACATCTTACCATCACAAACCATTACTTCCCTCTTATGAATTGTATTACACGCTATAGCAGTATAACATAATGTTTCCCTCTATAGGAGGCCTTGGAACATTTATTGAATTGCCTTTTTTTTTTTTTCCTTTCTCGCTGTAAATCCAACGGAGACAGGTGGATTTGAAGTGGCAATGAAGCAGTTTTAATGCCTCTGTTCAATTCATCTAGTTTGATTTTTTTTTTTTTTGGTACAAAGGAAAATGTAGCTGGAGAATAAGATAAAGATTTATAAGTGTTGGATTTAAATCTCAAACTTATTTGATAGCACTTTTAAAGAATGATTACATGAACAACTAAGTTTCGAGATCATCTTATTCGATGTTTGCTTTATAAGTGTTAGTGCACTGATTCCTGTATGTATCCACATATTTGACATTTCAAGGTTATCTGCTAATCTGAGGCCATAATCCCTGCGGCTGTCTTGGGTGAGTGTTCATCCATTTGTAAACCAAAACTGTAAAGCTCACAACTTGGTAATTCAATTTTTATCATAGTCCACCACAATCTGGAGTTTCTGAAGTGGCTGTGTATTCATCTCTCGTTCTTTTTAATAAAGTTTTCCCACGAGTTTATCATTATCACGTTGGTAGGGTAACGGAGGTTTGGATTGAATCATATTTAATTATATTTTTTAAAAATAATGTATAATATTATAAATTTAAAATTTAATTTGAATATTTTGAAATTGATTTGAGTTTAATTGAATTTTATCTGTTTAGTTTGGTTTATTAGTTTTTTATTTTTAATTTTTATAAATTATTTTAATATGATGTTTAATATATTTAAATAGATTTATATATAATAATAATTATTTTATTTTTATAAAAATTTAATATATATAAAACTTAATAAAAATATATAATTTGATTCAATTTTATTTTTATTTTTTATATCTCCTTTTGAAATTTAATTCAAATTTAATATATACATTTAATATTTAAATTTAATTTTAACTTAATAAAAAAATCTTATTTGAATCAAACACTATAATTTTTAATTAATTTTTAGTTTTTTTTTAAAAATTTTTTTCACCCTTAGTCTTTGGTACAAGTAATACATAGGTAACAAATTCCATGCTCATGTCTCATCTCTATTAAGGGTAAAATTGATAATTTATCGTATATTTGTGTATATCAATTTCGTACTTAACAAACGTGAAAAACGAAATTTGACATATTACAACTCATATAAATAATTAAATATAAAATACATTTTTATTGAATTTATATATAATTTTTATTAAAATTTTAAATTATATTATTTTAATTAAAAAAAAGAAAATAAATTCTATTTTAAATAATCAACTGCTTTATCATCAAGTGGTTCGTTCAATTATTTAAGATTTATTTTTTTTGATAAAAAAATTTTAGATTCGAATTTTATTGGTAGTAGCTTGTTAAGATCATCTTTGAATATACGATTTATAATCATTTATTTTAAATTATCAAATATAATATATCTTATCTTGACTTAAAAAATTGAACTATTTATTTACTCTCAAATTTTCTTTTACTAAAAAAAAAATCAACTGTTTCAATCTCCTTTTTTTCCCCCTAGAGCAAAACGCATTAAATATCAACAAAATTGACCACACTGGCTTTTCAAATAATGTTGGCATCCATGATGGTAGAATCTCCTCATTTTTTATATCAAAGATTTGCATCTAACCTAAAAAGAAGATATCATGATTATTCCATTTTCACAAATTGCTGTACACATGCTCAAAAAGATAAATCTAAGCATCAATATGAGCTTATCATCAAACAAATCCACCAAATATTCAATTGGTTTAGTTATGATTTATTTTCTTGATTATCACCTCAACCTAAAATGTTCAAGTATCTCAATCAAATAGTTCATATCTTATGGACACGATGATATTTCGTAAGTTTAAGATCGGACAAAAAATAAGTTAGAATAATTGATTATATTAGCTAAATGAAAGTGTAAATGGAGTTTAAATTTTTTTAAAATTTTTAGTTTGCTTTTTTGTAAAAAAAAAAAAAAATTGAAACACCAAGGTCTCTAACTTCTTCACAGGATAGAAAAGCAGCAGAAAGATTTCGGAGGGGGGGGGCGGGCTTGTTTTTGTTCTAACCTGATAGAACAAAAAACAGATAAAAGTTTAAACTAGAAAGCAACTGATCTTTTTCTCTTTCTAATTCGATTGCCCTCAACCTGGCTGAGGCTCCTGAAAGTTATATGTGCTAAATTGGGTTGTACAAGTAAATATTCTTTCAAGTTGCTGAAGAAAGTAAAGAGAAAAAGGTGTCATCCCTCGAAAAGTTGCAGGAGCTAGTGCAATATTGGAACACTGTTTTTTTGGCATTTCATATAAAAAATTCCAAAGCATTCCAGCACTTCTCTTTAAAGGTAATAAACATTCTATATTAATTTTTTTTTCTTGTCGTATCAGATTACTGAAACTAAGAATTCAATATTCTACCAACAATTTACGTGATTGTTGGCAACTTTCTATATCAATTTGCCTAGTTAGTGAGCATCCAATTAAAGGAAAAAGGTATGTAACTAATATCATTATTGTGGCACTAATCATGTGTAAAGTTGGATTATGCTCTTCATAAAGATCTTAGCAACCTGATTATTGTTTTCTGCAATTCAAATTCAAATCAAATTGTTTCCAAGTTGGAAAGCAATAGCATATGGAAAACACCCAACTGACAGATCATTTATTGTTTTCTTTATACAAGCAGCCTTGTGAGTAGAAAGTGAGCAAATTTTGGAGTTTTGCTAAATCTTTTTTATTTTCTAACACCTGCTACCATAAGTTGAAAGAAACAAAAACATCTCTTCAGCAGAATCCTGAAACTACTCTGGATGTTGTTTGGTGACGGAGTTGTTGTTAGAATTTCAAATATAAATGCCAGGTAGTAACAATATGGGTTACAAAATTTTGTTCCCATTCACTTCAATTCATGAAAAGGAGGAAGAGTACAATGTTCTAGTTTTTTAGACCCAAATGACTATGAATCAATTATATTAATAAGAAAAGTCAGATTTTTCCATGTAATATTTTATGGAGGTACAGATTCCGTACAAAAGAAGTCGAGATATTTCATGTAATAATTTAACAGTTATAGTCCACCAGCTTTGGTGGTATCTTGCACGGAAACCCTTTGGTGACAGTCCATGATTCCCGAAGGGAGTTCCAGATAGGGTGAGCAAGGTTTAACTAATTGAAATTGATCAAAATATATTAATTCGGTTTGGTTTGGTTTGATCGATTTCAAATGTAAATGGGGCTAAAGAAAATGGTTTATTCAGTTAGTTTTGGTTATTAATTTTTAAAATTGATTATCGGAATTAACTCTATTCATTTATTTTATATAATATAAATATAATCTAATTTACAAAAATATTAGAGGATTTTTTTTAGATTAAAAATTGACAGTATTACATCAGAGGAGTCAAAGCTTCATGATCCTAATGGATTAATGTTGTTTTTTTTTTAATTAAACATAAAATATGGTCTCTTTCCCAGGTTGATTCTGGGATATTAATGTTTATATCAAATCAATTAAGAAAAGCTTGTGGTTTTGCATGAGCAAATATGTAAAGCAACTGGATGAAAAAACCAGTTATTGTTTGGAAGATCAAAGTAGAAGTTACCATCCGCTTGGTAGAAAAGAAAGCAAAGGGAAGAATCTCCTAAACATAGGGTAAATGGAAACAATCTAATATAAGATTTAATTTTTCAAAAATACCAAAGAACATTTAAAATGGGCTTTTTCTTAGGACATATACGAATAGTCAATTCAAAAGCATAATAGAATAATTGTCTACTAAATAAATACCAAATCAAAGCTTTTTTAATGCATTGATAGTCACATACTAATGTTCTGTGGTTTAGGCTTCAGCTTTGTAAGATCATAATGAACCCTGAGAGGGAAAGCAGGCTGTGAACCATAATGAGAATTTTTGATGGGCCAAAAGTTGAAAAGTGAGGAGATTTATGTGAGATTTACTGTGAATTATTACTCCTTAAGACTTGTCTGAAAGATCTTGGGTTAATCAGAGTATTTGGAACTTAGAGGGACCAAAGGAATTGTGATACATCAGATTTGAGGGACAGAAAAAATTTGGCAGGGTAAGTGCCCCCACAACTTCATCTGTTGTTCCCAATTTCAGCAACCAGGCATGGAAACTTACATTGGTCCCCAATAAAACACAATCATGGATGTTTAACCTCAGAGTGGTCATTTTGTGCATAAAAAAGTAGACACAAGGAAAGAAAATCATGCACAGTCAAATCAAGCTGCAAAATTAAGGTTTCTTTTGATCCACTAAGCGGCAGCATCTCTAGCATTGTTTTACATTTGCAATATTGATTCCATTGTCACGTGAACTTGTTCATGAAGAGGGGGCCAGGGGTAACTATCTTGGGATGACGGATCTATGGAAAGTGAAAGAGAAATGCATACATAAAAAGCATATATCACATGCTTAATTATTTCCTCAAAAATATATATAAGGTCATCAGTTTCAAGCAACAAACTATTAAAGTCTAAAGGCTTCGAATTTGGCCATGGATTCAATTGTATACAGATGACAAAAACAAGTGCCAAAACATTCTCAATGTAATTATTTAATCTAGTCAACTTAGTAAGTGAAATTGATTACATAAATAGTTTAAAATAGAAGAGAAAGCCAACAAGAAAACACAAATGTTAAATGGGAGCAATTAGTGATGAATAAGTGCTCAACTTGTACTATTTGATTATAGATGTCAATATGTGTCATCTTGACTTGGTTATTGATGTTGAATTCAAATAGCTTGTTCTCATTCACTTGAAACAACTTGATTCCTTTGACAATATAACAAATCTAAGACATGTAAAAGCAAAGGAATTCTGTCATCATAGCTTGTGATGTGTGCCCCAATTAAAAGAAAAAAAAAAGGGTCTTTAGTTGGCCTTACCGGCGCCAAGAAAAAGGCTTTGATCTAAGGCAAACTGGATCCTTCTTTTTGGAAATCTTTTGCAATGTAACGCATTAAAAAAGGGGCCTTAAAAAAAAAAAAAAAGGGTCATCCCCATTCTCCCTCACACGCAGCCACGCCGCTCATAATGTGGCAACCTCCTCTACCCGATGGGGCTGCAAAAAGTGGGGACTTTTGCCTTTTCCCACGCCCGCACACAATTTCACGCCTTGCTTTCCTTGTTCGATGGACGATCCATCCGTAACGGCTCATCGCCCATGGTCCACCGCTGTGTCATGCCCTCCCTAGAGCGTGCCCAAATGGGACCTTTTACTGTTATAAGCTCCTCTCAATTATTTGTCTTTTAAAAGGAAATAACTTGCTTTTGGAGCCCAACGACCCAACCCAATTGAGATAAGTAAATGCTAAGATGCTTTTATCTACACACATTTAATCAACAATTGGTTGATATGATCATACAAATATATCAATTTAAAAAATTACTTGAACTTGCATTACACTAGTGAAATTTCTTAAATCCAAGCTACAAGTAGAATCTCTGCAAACACTTGAACTCTCTCCTTCCCCTAACAAAACTATACTAAAAGAATGTTTTACATTCGACTTGAATGTATATTTTTCATAATACGATCTAAAAGTAACTTCAAGCTTTTGCTTGTAACTAATTTTTTTTCCATCTAAAAAATAATTTTTTTAATATTAATTTGATGAATTTAAAATTTTATTTTTGAACATAATGGATTTAAAAGGAGAAAGAGCCCTTTAAATTTTACTATCTTTGACTCGGGTAATAATAAATTTAATAATTTTAAATATAATATGATAAAATCACATGAAAATAATATAAAAAATATAATTTAAAATTTTAATAAAAATTATATATAAATTTAATAAAAATTTTATATTTAATATATTAATATAATTTTAAACAATAATTTTTATTTTACATATTTAATATAAAATAGATACAATACAAATATGCAAACGTCGTATAATTAGTAAGAAGACGTTTAAATTGGAGCATCTTTGAGAGAAAAGTAGTCCACATATCCATAGATAACCTTCCATATATTCCAAGATGAGCTGTTGGATAAACTTAGTTGACGTGGCAATATTACAGCCTCTTTGAAACAGTGCTATCTGTTCAACGATGGTGGACCTGTTGTAGACGTTTAGGCTTTAGTAACGTATTTCTCTTAAAACTAAAAGGGGTTCCCATCGTCCCTTTAGACAGCCAATCACAGCTCACCAAATCATTGCATTTCCTGTTAGGGCCATTAAAATTACCAAAATTACTACTTTATTTGCACTTTAAATGACTCAATTACCCTTTTACCAGTTGATCTCACCGTCTAATAATTATATAAGAAAATTTTATTTAAGTTCCTCTTGGTAGGTGTGGTTTGGCTATAAAGACACTGCAGCATATATCTCCTCTCTTCCTGATTGCTTCCTTCCTTGCTTTGCTTTGCCTGCCTGTCCAGCTTGCTTTGAAGACTGAAAAAAGAAAAGAGAAATGGGGAATTGCCAAGCTATTGATGCAGCAACTCTAGTAGTTCAGCACCCATGTGGGAAAGTTGACAAGTTTTATTGGCCTGTGAGTGCTAGTGAGGTTATGAGGATGAACCCTGGTCACTATGTTGCTCTTCTTATCTCTACCACCTTGTATCATTCAAGTAACAATGATAAATGCCCAGAAAACAGCGCCAACAATGTCAACCCTGTTCGTTTAACTAGGATTAAGCTTCTCCGGCCCACTGATACTCTTGTTCTTGGCCAGGTTTACAGGCTCATCACCACTCATGGTATTCATATATTTTCTGGTTGCTTTTTGTTCTTGTTTTAATTACTTTTTATTGGTAATACAGACTGCTTTCTTTTTGGGTTGTATCTGATTTTAAGTTGTGTTAATTTGCTTGTTTAATTTTTGCTTTTTAGAGGTTATGAAAGGGTTGTGTGCAAAGAAACATGCAAAGATGAAGAAAAACCAGCAAGAATCGGCAGAGAAGCCATATGACAAGGCTGGCCTGAGGCCAGAGGTAATGGGAACGAGATCTGAACCAGATAAGGAAAATAAGGTGAATTTCCTTAAAGAGCTATGTATTTTTAGTTTGTCTCTCTAATTCTTTGTCAATTTTTACTGTAGATAATCATTAGCATATATACATGCATGTTCTTGTAATTGAAAGCTTTATTTTTAGCATAAATTTCAGAATAAAATTGCCTTGGTGCTGCTTTAATTCCCTCTTAATTTTTATTATTAAATTTCCTAGTGCAACATATAGGATCTAGAAAAGAACAAGTTTGAAAACAAAATTTCATTTAAGAACATCAAACTGCTTGAAGATTTAAAGATAAATATTGACTGATGAGCATATGATAATAAGAAATGTTTTGAGTTGGATACTCGTATATATTTTTCTATTTATTTTTTCAAAAACTTTTTTCCTGATGATATTAAACGTCTCCAGGTGAGCAGACATGAAAGACACCAGCCAAGATCAACAACATCAATCAACTCTGCTGCCAGATCAAAGACATGGCAGCCTTCATTACAAAGCATCTCAGAGGCTGCAAGCTAAGGATGTGGGATCTTGCCACACGCTGCATAAGAGACAGTGAGAGAGAAGCACCACTTGGCTCTAGCCGCACAGAAATCCTGGCTTCTTTTAACCTGTAAAAAGCAATACAGTTTCTCACTTTAGGACGCAGGTAGCAAACCATGAAAAATCACAAACTGTCTTCAAGAAGCGAATCTGAGCAATGCATAATTGTATATCAAAAGGGTGAAATTAAAACCCCAAAGTGTTGTAATCCACCATTGTTAAGTAATGAAACTGAGTATTATTCCCTAATATAGCAGATTAATATAATATAAATAATACCTGAAAAAGAATAGGGTTCTTTAATTATTAAACAACATGCAGTGTCATCTGTCATGGCTGCATCGCAGTTAGTTTTACAGGTGTAAACCAGGTATTTAATTTCAGGAATAGGGCAGCTATGAATTGAGAGGAGAATATGAATATCACTATTCCAGTACCCGAGGGAGCTACACGTCAGCAATACTTGTTCTTGCAGGTAGGCCAGATGTCAACAACAAATGGGCTACTAAAATACAAGGAATCGAGGTTGTAATAATTGTATTGAAGGACCATTACTTTTCTCCTATATGGTCCCCAAAGGCCATAACTAATTAACTGGTGAAGACATAATCAAGTACAGATACGAGGTGATAATGTCCTTTATAATATTATTTGTAATTATTTATTAAATTTAATTAGAGGAAAAATTATGAGCATTAATCTCAATGTTACGAAAGAATAGATGGTGGGACATGTTACAAGACTCCCCATTAATCATAAGGCATGTACATTTTGACTTTGAAACACCCGTTACTACACTAACAATTTCCGGCCCATTAAACGAAGAGGAATCTTTCCTAATATCAAACCCATTATTTCTTCCAACATGCCATATTCAAGAGCGAAAGATGCCCTCATCTTTTCTTTAACAAGCTCAAAAATAAAATTATTGCTCCACTTCACACACAACATTTGAGTGAGGGGACTTTGGATGACCGGTTTCTATTAATGGAAATACAATGAAATATTAATATAATAATTATATCGTAATTTTAAATATGATTTTAATTATAATATTATTTTTAATTACATAATTACATTAATCTTACATAATAATATATTAACACAATCCTTTTCAAGCTATAGTTGGCTTCCAAACTGAACAGCCAATCCACAGCTTGACAAACAATTCCAGTGCAATTGGGGTTGTTTTAATAGCACCTTACTTTTTTTTTTATTGTCCCTTTCTTTTACCCTTGAAACAATAGTGCAGGGTAAAAATGTCTCTTCACTTGTAGTTTTTTTTTTAAATTTAATTTTATTTAATTTATGTCACTTTTGATTGGCATTTTGGAATAGTAAGAATAAAATAGATATACCATTAAAAATAAAAATAGAGTTGAAATATAATAGAATAGAATTAGCATTTTATAGTTTGGTTGATGGTAAGGAAATAGAAAATGAATTTTGTGAATACAAATGAAATTATTATTTTACCCTTTACAAAAATAATTTATTCACATACAAACCCAAACATATTTTTATTTTTTTATTTTTAATTTTCCTTCTTGATTTTCCGTTCTATTCCAGTTCAAAGAAACACTTCAACCCCAAATGATTCGATTTTGCCTTGACCTTAAATCCAAAATAATCAAACTCAACTCGACTCAATTCCTCCGTCAAATCTTCACAACTTGTTTGTATTTTCCGTATCATGAATTTATAAATATGAACTGACATTGATTAATTTCACTAACCAATCCAATTTATACACAAAGATATGAATTGTCCAAATCCTGGAGTACACACAGGATTCTTTTGCTGTGGGCCATTAACTCTTTGCTTTTTATCCACCAAATTTATATACGAGTAGAGTTTGCAAATGGATTGTTTTGAGTTTGGATAACTTTTAAGTTAAGAAAAAGTTAAATTATTTTAAATTCGAATTAAGTTGAATTTAGATCAAGAAAAAATTTTGATTATTTTGGATAGAATAATTCGTTTTAGATTAATTTGAATTTAAATCGTCTCGAGTTTAGATTAATTTAAATTTGAATCATTTTGATTTTTTGATCATTTTGATTTTGAATTATTCGACTTTAACTTTTAGGTCATTCAAATTTGGTGTTCAAGTTATTTATATTTAATTTGGTAACTTCTAATATAAAATAAAATAAAAATAAATAAAACATATAAAAATTAAAATATCAAAATTAAATAATTTAAAAGCAATTTATTAATAATATAAAATTTACTAAAAATATAAAATTATGACACGTAAAATATAAAATTAACATGATATAAAATTATTAATAAGTTTTTATAGATTTATATTTAATATTTATTTTTAATATTTCATACATTAATTATGATTTTATTATTGGAGATTTATATTAATATTTCATACAATTGTATTTGAACACATTAATTATTAGTTTTTTTTATTTTAATTGAATGATTTCATGTGTTATAATTAGCTTTACTTATTATTAATTTTTTAAAATTATTATTTATATATTTAATTAATTTTTATTATATTCTTAGAGCACAAAATAAGGAAGAGATTTTTATTTTTTAAATAAAACTAAAAAATAATGGTAAAAAATATTGAGAAGATAATTTTAAAATTTAAAATTTTAATAATATAATAATTTATGTTATATTTTTTATTTTTAATTATAACAATATTAAAAAAAATAAAAATTTACTCAATTTAATTTTGACTTCTTTCCAAAGAGTACTTCAAGTCATTGAAAATCAAATCAATTTAGATTTAAATCAATTTTGTTGGATTAGATCTATTTGGATTATTGATTTTTTTATTCAAATTGAGTCTATAAAATTTGAATTTAAATCAAACGATTAATTTTTCAAGTTGAATGGACTTTAACCATCTTTGTATATGACTTTGTTTTCATACGCTTGTAATAAAATTTCTCTTTTATTTTCACAAATGAATTAAAAAATTAATACATGTTTTATTTTTTTATTTTTTAATATATCTTTAAAAGTATATGTCACGTTTTTATAGCATAGTTTGTGGAATCCAAAAGCATGTAAAATACAAATTTTGTCTCTATTGAAAACAATCATTTAAAATACAATCAAATTAATGAGCTGTGGAGCAATGTTTCCAATTTTCATGTCGTTAGCTTTTATATATAGCTGATCGATAGGGCCTGAGGTGTCATAAAATTTTTTGTTATAAGGTGAACCTCCTAATTTAATGCTTGAGAATAACAGCTTTTAATCCAAGGCAGAGAATGAACGGTTCCTATTAATAGGGCAGCTCAAATTTCGACAGGGACATCCCCTTTCTTTATGGCACAAGCCTATCAAAATTATTTCTTGCCATACCTTTTTCCCATCAGAGGAAACTGGCTGAATTTTCAAAGCAACTTGCATTGCTTACATTGGAAATATGAAAGAATGGATACCTACCTATTATTATTGCTATAGCAGGCTTGAAGTTTATTTTTTTTAAGGAAATTGCAGGAAAAATAAAAAATTATGAATGCTAGATTTGAATATTAAATTTATTAAATATTATTTTTTAAAAATAATTATATCAACTAATTGAGTTTCAATTTTTTCTTTTTACAAATTCCAGAGAATTGACCTTGGGTTTGGCAATCATTACATGATTTTAGATATTTAAACAATTTAGAATCAATGTTAGGGGAACTTCTATTCTTATTCACCCTGCTAAGCCAACTAGCTGTCGTTGCATTCTCCTCTATTCACACGAAACATTCCTCTGCAATTGAAAAAATGTGAAAAGACTGGATTAACACCAATAATCTTTGCACGCAGAGCTGGTCCCCTTCATTTAAAGCCGATTGACTTGTCTCCAACTCTTATTCTTTGGCATAGAGGTGGGAAATGGCCTTCAAGGTTGAATGATAAAAAGCAAGCAGCATTTATTATTGAACAGCATTTCCTTTGAAAAAAACTGCCTTGAAATGGGAAAATAGCCTCCTTGTCTTGCCTGGTTAGACTTTTGGTGTATGCAGCTGCTGACACGATTGATCACAGAAACTCATAAACAACATCGTTGACCACGATCTCTGATCACACTGCAAGCAGGGTGGTTTGGTTCAATCCATGCATTAATTCATCCCCGCGTCTGCTCACTCGTAGTAATTTATCAAGAGAAGAAAAAAAATATAACCATACTTGCCAAACTGAGAATACCCCTTCTGCTTTTGGTCATTTGGCCAAGTAAAAACAGTATTTGCAAAATTTCTTTTATATTTAAAATTATTAAAATTTAAATCTTAATCATTGAAATTAAAAATATAACACTCTAACAACAAGATTTAACTAAATAAAAACTGTATTTATCAAAATATCTGTCCTCCTGTATCTTACATGTATCACGACCGTGAACGGGTCCAAACCCAAATGAATTGTTCAAGGGCCGCATAAGGTGACAATGCTTGAGTTTTAGTCTGTGACACCTGTATGTAACTTTGCAAAATACATTAGTAACTACATTCAAATAAAACGAATTTTCTTCCTCTAACGTCTCCAACACGACGGAAGCAAATTAAAAACGTTGACAAAAAGTTTATGTTGATATATATTGGAATTGAAAAATCACAGAAATCAATGTCATTAACTTTTGCAAACAGACAACATGACACATGTTACAATCTAGGATCACACTTTTCCTGAAAATGTCATTTGGATGAAGCAATAAACATGTTCATGCAAATTATGCGATAGACTCAAAATATATAGCTCCATAGGTCACTGGATGACGATCAAATAAGATTATTGTTAAAGTAAAAGCTGATCCTTTATTTGTTATTCAGTCTCTTTTACGTGAGAATTTGTTGCATATGAGTGAGTGGTATAACAGAAAAAATGATGAACTGCTTGCTTCTGAAGTGGATTATTTGATCACACGTGCTAGAGGAAAAACGTGTTAAAATCACCGATGGATACTTAAATGGTAAAGAGATTATACTCATCTCTTCTTCTTGTCTGAATTCAAATCCACTATAGGCTGTGAGAAGATAATTTTTCATGAATTCCTAACACTTAATATAAATAAACTTGTTTAAACCTGCCCGAAGAAAATATGTACTAGACAAAGTCCAAAAAATAAAGCTTTTGTTGCTTAAAAAAAACTGTTAGTCTTCCTGAAATGCCACCATTTACATTATCTGATTCTTTGAATTGTTATTTCAACTTTCTTGTTGTCCTTGATTTTAGTTCTTTTTTTCTTTAGTTAACCAATGAACCTGATAAAACACATGTAAACTAATTAATAAGGAAGACTACAATGAAGGATAACCACGTGTGTTTATTTAATAAATAAAAGAACATTATTAATCCAAGTCAGGGTCCTGATCATATTTGTATCAGAAAACTACTAGATGATGCTTCGTTTGGGAATTGCTATAAAGAAAAAAGATACTTACCATGGACCAGAAGTGATATCTAATAGGTTTAGGATTCAAATCTAAATGCTTGCAATATCTTTAGCTATTCTCGGACTACAACCTCCCATGTACTAAAAGAAGTACCTTAAGGCAAAAACCTCTGTAACAAAAAAAGATGCATACCAAAACAAATTCCTCCACAGGTGAAAAGCATTAATGATTCAAGCCATGCTTGTTATTTCCCAGCCAAAGGAATTACTGAAGTTTTACATGACTAATAATTTTTGATGGTATATACTGCAGCACCGTCACTAGAAAAGAAAAGCAACATGGATCACCAAAATGAGAGCTATTAGATAAAGGCTCAAAACACATCAATCTTCAAACCAAAGATCTAACATGATATTTCTTGGGATATATCAACATAGTTTATTGAGAAGGACAGAACACCAACTTTCCACTTCATACGTCAACTCAAAACTCACACAAAAACTTTTATCAACAAACTCAAACTCTTCTGCTGACTATTTCTCCCTGACGACAAATGACATATACTAAATAGGAAGTAAACCCAACAACAGCTCTTCTATGCTTCAAATGTTGAAATCTGGTTCTTGCTTGGAAACAGGATTCCTCCTAGCTAGGCCACAGTGTTCTCAGTCACCTCCTTAACTTCTTCATGCTTGTCAAGTTGGCTGAAGTTCCCCTTCTGTTTGAACAGTTGATTGTGGTGATGCCTACAGTATAGACGATGTTCATGGGCTATGTAGTTAGATGGGCTGATCACACAGCCTCCATGGGTGCACCTGAAACAAACCTTATGATAGCAAGTGCCATCGACCGCCACCTGAAGATAGAGGAAACAATTGGGGTTAGAACAACCAGCAAACTCCAACTATGAAATAATTTTCATAATGTAGATCAGAGTTTATATGATTAGAGGCATTGTTTACTCTGAGCGTTATAGAAATTAAAAAGAATTCCATTTTTTTTATTAGGATAAGATTCAATAGTCTGTTATTGATCTGCCTATAATTTTTTTAATCAGTTATTTTAAAAACAACATGGTGACAATTAAGAGGAACGAAAATATACAAATTAAATCTTATTATATCTGTCAATAAAATTGAAAGGAGGCATTTCTATGTACATATGGGAAGCAGTCTTTAGCAGTTATGGTTGCAACTTTAGGCTGCATTTGGTGATAGCAATTAATGATTTAAATTTGCAATGAATACCTTTTCAATTGGGTAAACAGTTTTCTTACAAGCGACACATTTGTCTTGAGTTCCAGCAAACAGTCTCGAAACTCTGCTGTTGGTGACCTGCAGAATTCCAGTGAGAACAAGTAACAACTTACGTATAACATGACCTCAATGATCAAGTGTGGTAGTATGATTTAAGAGCTAAAAATAATTTCTATGACTTGGAAATGAATTGTGCAACATAAGACAGTGAGGCACCTGGTCCGTTGATCGGTCTACCCTAACAGTTTTTCGAGTTCCTGGCAAAGAGAAAGTAAACAAAATATCCTATCAATTTGGCTTTCGAAACGGAGATAAGAGGTAAGTAAATAAGTGTAAAAGCAATTCAATAGCAAGTTAAGAACCTTCAAAACTTTTATCCAAACTGCCAGTCATCTTAAACAATTGATCGAAGTGAGGCTTGCAATACAAGACGCCCTCAAAGGAGCTATAATTACTTAGCTGCAAATTTGTAGGAAAGGATGAGCAAACAACTTATAGGACACAAGATCAAAGGCAGCCAACTAAAGAAAAGAAGCAATATAACTTCATGTTTTAAATACTGCAACATCAACGCTTAGCAAATAGGGATCTCAATGGCCAGGGTATGGGGTAGGTAAAGAATTTCCCATCCTTCAAATCTATCTCAATTTCCATCCTCACATATATGTAATGGGTATAGATAATTCCTATACTATAAGTTTTTAAAAAAATAAAAATAAAAATATATTTTTTTAACTTATATATTTAGGTAATTATATATATTAATATACTTTTTTAATAAGAATATATTAATTTTAATTAATCTAAAATAATAATTTATATTATTTAATAAAAAATTTATTTACTACTTATATATAAATATATATATAAGATATCGTATGTGACGAGTGCTATATTAACGTCTTTGTATATGTATCCAATAAAAATTTAAAATCATACACATTTTCATCCTCACAATTTTATATCCATCCCTATCTCCATTAGATAAAAAGGTAAGTTCCTATTAGATATAGATAAAATTAACATCTCAACTAGTAAAGACTTGAGAATCACTGAGGAAAATTTATGTTCATACCAGTAATAGTATTTCTAAGTGAATGCCCTAAAGGCATGAAAACAGGCCTCTGCACAAGAAAGACAACAATGATTGTAACATAAACATGAAAGTGCTAATAAATATGCTCATGTTTCAGATTACACAATCTCGGATATATATATATTTTTCTGATCATCATTTGCATTGTCACATCCAATTTAGGAATACTATGGCTACAAGTTTTCATATTCAAGCAGACAAGATACTTGAATGAACAAGTTAAAAGGCCGTAGTCAAGAAATTAATTCACGGATTGGGAAACTCTTCCACTGTTGTTGCGGTTAGTCCTGAAAAAAGGGCATTCATCTTACACTATCCAATATTTTCACAAATATGATTCTACGGTTAAATACAGGAAAAGGGTCAAAGATTCCAAATCATGTCTGTTGTTCGCTTGATTCCCAAAGAAAAAAAATGCTTATATCCAATAAAACATAGATCGTCATTAATGATGGCTGGTGCGACCAAATCATAAACCCGTACTCTAGAGACAAATTCTTTATGCTGTAATAACTGATAACTGATCACTGCTCGGCCATTTTTTACCTCATGCTTCAATGTTTTTGGAACAATTTAATCACTATTCTGTGTGATTCCAGCAAGAATGTAATTTTTTTTTCTTTTCGTTTGTCCACTTACTCCCTACAAATAAATTAAGGAGATTACTCTTTCATAAAGATTGATCTCAAGGCCTATTGGAGACTTGAATTATCAGCTTCATTGGATTTTCGTCAAACTAAAAGGAAAAATGTTTCCAGCAATGCCACTGAAATTAGGTTCCTCAGCTGTATATACCAACTGTAGAGGGGGAGAGATCTCAATTTTCTAAAGAGAAGAGAAATGAAGAAACTTATTTTTTTTTTCTGCCACTTCTACTGACATCAAATTTAGAATTTGATGTCTTGAGAACCTTTCCTGTGACTACTAGAAACAGGTGACTGTATGATTGTTGGGGTTTGGCTATAGTGTTTTATGATTTTACAGCATCTTTCACCTTTATTTTTTATAGCAGTTTCCCTTATGAATTCCATATGGCTCAAGGGAATTAATGTATAGGAAATCCTATATAATCTCAATTCGCTTCCAAATTCTGGTAAGCTTTTCTTTAAAAAGTAATTTAAATCAGAAAAAATTGATAACCTACTCGGTAGACCTGCCCTTCAACACCATGAAAACTGATCAGATCTCAAACCATAATTTATCAGTTTGCAGGAGCTTTGATTAATAGGCATAAAACTACAAGAACTATGAAAAGTCTTTGATACCAAGAATAACATGGAAGTTGGATCAACGTTCTTAGTTGAAGATTCTTTAAGAAATCTGTCTACATATCATCAATCAATAAGGACACAAAGGATTGATAAAAACTCGAGCCCTGTAAGCTACAAATGAAGCCAAAACCCAGATATACAAATCCATAATTAAGCAGAGAAACAACAAAAGGCAAAACAAAAAATTAACAAAAATTAGACATGTTCAAATTAAAAGAAGCATCACCAAATACATTGACAAAAGTCAACTAAAGCTGTGAGTGTCTATATATATCAAGGAAAGATAAAGATTGCTGATATGAATAAAAAAGATTTTACCTTAAGGGTACCCTTGCAATGGTGACACCTGAAACAAGCTTTGTGATAAACTTTGTTGTCAGCAGTGAGTTGATCAACCAAGTAAACAGTTTTTTCACATGCCTCACACTTCTGGGTAGTCCCTCCAAAGGGTGCCATACTCTTTCAGATCGTTCCTTTCAATCCCCCACCAACCAGAAACTGTTTACACTGCAAAATTCAGTAGCTTTGTTGATGTTAAGCCAAGAGCAAAGGGCAGAAGAGGAGACTTTTTCTGTTTCCAAACAAAAACTCCTTTGACTGACCGTTTCCTTTTATTTTATAAATTTGTGCCTGTCAAAATTATTGTGTATGCAGTTAGAGCTCAGAGATATTGAGGTTGGTCTTTGCGTAGACTTTTTGACCAATAACATGTGCTAGCTGTCCACGTTTGAGGATAAAATAGTAATTTACTTTAATGAATTTACCATAATTTCCTGGTCTTGGACAGGTGTCGGTTGCGTTTGCTAACAGTGAATTACTTGAAGGTTCTTCAGATCGATCTAATATGCAGATCAATTCGAACAGAATCGCGCTTCTTTCGGACTTAGGAAATCTTTGTACCACCCTCTCGAAAAGGGCGTGCCTCCGATTCCTCTGTTTCTTTGTTGGCTGGACAATTAGAGAATAATGGGATAAAATGTAAATTTATTATTTTATTTATGTGAATGTGAATGGTTTAAATTTACAATTAATTTTTTAAAATTTATCATTATATTTTAAATTTTAAAAATAATTTATTATCATACTTTTAATTTTGACACAAATTCGATTAAAATATAATAATTATCAGTTTTAAAATTCAAATACGATTTAAAAAATATAATTTTGTCATCATTTTTTTAATTTTGGTATAAATTAGAAACCGTGTTTTTAATTTTGAATAAAAAAATTTATGATGTGGCATTGTATTTAGTAAAAATGCTATGATGAAATAAGAAAAAAGTAAAATAAAAAATCCGAAATTTAATATCATGGCTATTTTTTCCTTATCATGTCATTTTCAAATTCTTCTTTAATTGTAAAATAGTTTCTAATGAAATTTTTACAGAATATTATCCAATTCTTACATGTTGATCAAATTTATTTCAAAATTAGAAGTACGATCATAAATTTGTTTCAAAATTAAAAGCATGATGATAACATTACATTAGTTAAATTATTAGTTACGAATCTTAATCGTTGTAGATCGGTAAATTTATAGCTTATTCTTCATATAATTCAAGATATCTTTTGATCAAAATAAAAATAAAATATCGAAATTAATAATATTTTTTACAACGAAATTAATTGGAAACTTCAACTGTCAATATCTATAAATAAATTATAACTTTTTTCTTCTTTAAACAAATGTGTGAAAATTAAAAGGTTAAATGAAGTATAACATTCATTTATGAATTCTTTTTGTATTATAAATTCATAATCCTCCAAACTAATGCATCTCTTACCATTTGAGAAGATTTTTGTTTTCAGCAAGAAACAAAAGAAAAAAATAAAAAATAAAGATCCATCAATAGCAAAAAGAATGAGAACACCTGTAAATTTAATTTTTTTTTATTTTGATTTCACTTTAATTTTTAATTTTTTAATTGTCTGATTTGAATCTTTAATCTTTTAAAATATTTCATTTTGGTCTTTCATCTATGTTGTAACTTATTTGGCATGCGATGTGGACATTTTCTTGACATGCCAAGTGGATTTTTTTTTCAATTTTTAATGAAACAATGTGACAAAATAATAAAAATGAAACAGTTTTAAGGGACCTAAACGGAATATGCTAAGGATTAAAGTGGAATCAAAATAAAAAATTAAAAGCCATGGATAAAATTTACCTTAATTTATATGAGACTTCCTTTGGTGTTTTTTAATTGGGAAAATGATTCTCAAGCAATTGTTTCCCCGTTCTGATTGGATGATTAGAGATGTACTTTTATATTGAAATTCAACTTAAACTCAATCAAATATTCAAATTCGATTTAATAAGTTCAATTTTATTTGATAAGATTATAAATAAAAACATTAAATATTATATTTTTGTTATTTAGTTATATATACATATTAAAAATAATAATTTATTTGATTTAGATATTAAAACACTTGAATATGGTTTAACTTTTTATTCAGTTAGTTCAAAATTTATTTAAATATTGAATAAATGAGCTATAGCTTATCTCGAATAGCTGCAGCTTGACTTAGTTGTATCATATGGGCAACTAAGTCAATCCATTTTCCCACGAGATTGTTCCTCACTAAAAAAATCCTTCAGAGGCGGTGCTATGGACGAGGTCATGGAGCAAGTGAGAATACACAGAATGATGAATGGTAAATAGTATATGAATTGTCACCGTAAATAGGTGGGGAGATATTCTTTTCTTGTACAGGGTCTTGTGGGTCATAATGTGAAGTGTTAATGATTCATTCCCAAAATATTTTTTGTCATTATATTATTTAGGTGACAGATAGTGTGCATGAACGATCCAATAACTCAAACCAAGTTATATTATACTATTTAAAAAAATAATAATAATTAAAAAAGCATCTCGTTCTCTTTTGCTATTATTAGCTGCTAAAATTATTCAACTAGATTTGTCTAATGTTAATGTATCATTTTCTGGAAAAAAGAGGGTTTACAATCAATTACACTTGAATGGTTTTAGCTGCTTGATGCATTAACATCACTGATTTTTTCTCAATTAGTAATTAACTGAATTTGATTAGTTTCTAGATTGATTTCACGCTCATCCTGCCGTCTCAGTGGTAGAAAAATAGTTGAAAATCAAAGCAAATTAGTAGTTATCCAATTAATTTTAAAAAATTTAATTGATTATTAATTTTTTATTGGAAATCGTCAAAATTTTAATTATTTTAATTCTCTCTACTTTAACTAATTTAATTTCTGAACAGAACCAAAACCTTAAAAAAGAAAAGACTTTCTCTATTCTTCTTCACATTTATGTTTTTTTTTTTTTCTTGCTTATTTTACAAAAATTTACGAACTCAACTTAACAATAGCAACCCAAAAAAGAGCCCGATGGGATGTGATGGCCTCTTTTTCTTTCTCTGGGCAATCTGAGCATTGCCCCATTATCTTTTCCATCCAATGCCAATAGTGGCCAGGTCTTAATTCTTTTTCTCTCTTTTGGAGGCCACAACTAAAGTTGAAGAGATTCAGTGTCTGCTTTTCACTTGGCCATGAAAAGTCCTTGTTGATAGCCATCTATCTCATATTCTAGACACCAATGCCAAAAACAAACACAAGTTAGTAGAGCTGTACCCAACAATTTCTACTTTTTTTGGGACTGAGAAAATAATTGTGTAAATGTTGCCCTACCATTTTTACAAGTGTTTTTTTTTTTTTTCCACATTCTGGCAACTCTGTTGAAAAATGATCAATCATTAAGGAGAGTAATTAAGTTTTCAAAATTGGCAACCATGCTACCAGCTTGGGAAGTCTTCTTCATGATGCCAAAACCTAAGGAGATTCAAAAGTTTCAGCTATGATAAATTGCTAGTCAATGTATCCATTATTCTTATTATAAAAGAGTTCTGGGTTTCTAAATCTAAGCAAAATCCAGCTGACTTGTAAATTAATTTATGCTATATATCCAAGCAACTTTATAGAACAAACTCCAGTCATGAATAGGGGAATCTGAAGTTACTCTGGCTTGAATGGTGCTGGCGTTATGATAACTCGGCTATTTTTAAGTCTAATAAATTTGATAATTTTAGACATTAAAAAAATATAGAAGTATTACAATTTAAAATTTTGATAGATTTGATAAAAACCAAAAAAAATATTTTATATTTCAATGTTAATATAAATTATAACATAATAATTTTTATATTTTACATTAAATAAATACAACAAAAAAGAGATGTTAAATGAGTTGGATAACTAATAACATAATTAGATTGGATATGATGTGAGCTGTATTTGACACGACTCATTGCTATAATTATGGGCCGTGTCATGCGCAACTCATATACTTGTGATATGCTAAACTAAATATTTTAGCTTCATTGAGTTAACACGGTATGACTCGTTAAGAGCCAATGTTAGCACGTGACACACACAAACACTAATGTGTCATGTTGTTTTAGTTCATAAATATTATAAATGAATTTAATTCATTGGTCTTTAGTTGAATTTTATGTTATTTTATTCATATGACAGATGTTCTTTTATCCTTTTGATACTTTATGTTAATAATTTATTAAAATTAAATTGTTTCATTAAATAAATATTTAAATTACTAGTAGATAAAATTCTAATTTTTCATTTTGATTTATTATCTTTTTAAAAAATCTATTAAATATTTATTACTTAAAAATTAATTATTAAAAAAATCAAGAATAAGACAAAATATATGATATAAATAAATCATCATATGGTGAAAATAAAAAATAAAATAATAATGTGGTATCCATTTTTTTAAAAAATTTAGAACTGTAATATTATTATTTGTTATTTTTTACATATTATTTCAATAAATTCTTTTATCTTTTATTGATAAATATAAATATTTTGTTGAATCATCTGAATTTTATGCCTTATGTATTAATTTCATAAATTAACTTTTAAAGATAGTTGAAAATAAAAAAAAAATTTCCTAAAAAAATTATATAAATTAAAAAAACTATAAATGAGCCTTGGCTCAATACAAAAAAAAAAAAAATGTGCTCAGTATGGCACGATCCATAAAGTCATGAATCATAAATCCTGTCGAATCATACTCTTACTCTTCATAAACCATACCAGCACAACAAATTACATGATAACATTGAATCAACGCAACCCATTTACACTGAACTAATTTTTTAATGAGAACCAGCCGTGCCCGACACCTCTAATTCAGATAAACGAACTGCCAAACCTATCTCACACAGATATAGGGACTGTCAGACCTGTCTAACCGAGATCGCATTCTTGCATGATAATTCATTCATTTTCAAGCCATAGTTGGTAAGCCAAAGTGGGTAGCAACATACAAAGAACCATCTTGAGGGCAACTCAATCAACACAATTCAAATTAATAAAACCTGCTTCTTTAATGGTAGTTATTATTATATATATATATATATTTAAATCTTCTTGATTTTGTCTGACAACCATCCAATATTTTTTTTTTCTTAAAAATAAAAAAGGAGAATTCACATGAATTTACATGAGAACATCTCAAAACCTAAATTTTGCATGATAGTAACTAGTTACATTAATATATAAAACATAAATGCGATAAAAGTAGAATGAAATCATATCTTATGGATTGATATCATGTGGAAAACCCATCCACCACTTTTCTTGTTCCACCTCTCCAACTGGTACCCAGCAGCACCGTTTTGGATGTTTCCTTTATGCCACAGTGCATAGTTACCCCTATACTGGAGCAATTTTCTAAAATAATTGGAATCATCATAAAAGAAAATTATTTGACAGATTTTATGAAAGATGAGAACTTGATTGAAATCTGCTGAGTAGGGTCTTGCATTCAAGAATGTCACAGCAGCACATTTTATTTTGCTTATTTATCGATGAGGCAAAGTCACTAAATGGCTAAAATATTGCTGCCAAAACAAAATCAAACACTAAGTCGTACACTTTTCCCTTTTGGCAGAGAAGCAAAAACATGCACAGCCTCATTCACTTCCACTAGCAGCCTTTGCCTGGTTCCGAGTTTCTTCTCGCATTACTGCCTTGACATAAATTTCATAGCAACAACCTGAAACAAACAAACGTAATAACATCATACAAGAAGTTTAGTCACAGATGCTTGACTGTTTGTCTTACACAGCGATGCATAAACCTTATTTTTCTTCTCCAAGTGAGGTTTAGTAAGGATATTGGTTTAATGTCTCCCACTTCTCACCGTTTATTTTGAAATTATAGACTAACAATTCATGACAGATCTCTCTAACTCAATTTCAGACATAAAATGGACAAAGCTGCAAGTTTAGGACTATAGTTTCTTTTTTTTTTTCCTTTTTCAAAGCTGAAGGCGATTAATTAAGAAAAATAAAAACAGACAGTATAAACAAAAGGCGAGAGAAGAACTTGAGTATCAATGTTCAATGATAAAATGCCAATGAAATGAAGTTGAATATTCATCACAAATTTGAAAACAATCATTCATTAGTTGTATCAACCCCCAAATCTCTATGATTTAGCAGCATTACATTTCCTTCTGTTCTCATTCAGGGACCAGAACAATTTTACTCTAGAAATTGCAAAGCTAACTATCTAATCAATCAAATTTATTATGATCAATTCAGCATGCTTTATTTGTTGGGTTTGTCCATAATTTCACAATTTCCATTAAATATGAGGGAAGCGGAAAAAAGGAGGGGGGGAGTAGCTATTAACACAATGAATCCTTAAAATCTAGCTATTGGCAATGAGAGGATATATCACCACATAGGTTATATACTTTCAAAATTAAGTTTTTAAATGATTTACTACATTTTTTTTGTTTCAAGCTTTTTTTCCTTCCAAGAAAGAAGGGGAAAGTGAAAATTAAAAAAAACAAAAGAAAGAACATTTCCAGTCATTACAACATTGAAGTGTAATGTCCAAATTCACCCAAAATCAATTCGAACCATTATAAATATTAGAGACATATTTGGAACAAATCTAAAAAACATATGAAACATGAGGACTATAGAGAATCAAACCCAACTTCTTATGGAGTTATCCATACATAATAAAACTCAAGAAGCAAATCATTCAACTTATAGCAAATGCTAGCTTTACCTGCTACAACAACAATTGTCAGAACATCCCCGATTCTCTTCAGTCGCCACACACTCTTCTTATAAGATTTAAATCGTCTTAAAGAAGGGTCCTTTGCCAAGAGCTGCAAGGCGTATTCCACATCAACATGGTATCAAGTATGGCACAAGAGCATCACATGTAAGAACATATACATAAGTAGGGATCCACTTACCCTTTTTTGGACCCTTGGATCAAAATTAAATCCATAATTTATTTAATCAAAATAGTATTTTTAAATTTAGTAATTTTGATCCAATAATCCAACAAAGTGTAAAAATTACACTAGTGTAAGTGGATCTCCTCCCCCCCACCCGTCTCTCTCTCTATATATATATACATATAATCACTAATCACTTCTAACCCTCCCCCTCCATGGCAGAAAAAAAAAGAAAAGAAAAGAAAAGAAAAAGGAAAGTGTTTAAAGGATTTGATTATATATCAAGAATTTCAAACCAATTCACTCGCAAATGTAACGTCTCACTTGCTAAAAAAAAAAAAACACTTATAAAAAATTGAAATTTGAAACCCATGATCAACGAGAGATAAAAACAAACAAAATTTTTTCAATCTCTTGAAATAATGATTTTTCTAATCTTCACTTCATCTATTGGTATAGGCTCAATTGAAAGAGATAAAATCCTAAAAACTAGATTACCAGCTGACCCAGAAGTACAATTGCAACCCTTTTGCCCAACCAATACGAAATCAAAAGATAAACCAAAAAGAAACAAAAGGGTATATTCTTATCAAGAAAATTGAACTGGGAAAGATACAGAAAAGGGGAAACTCACAGCTTTCTCACGATCCCCAAGTTCCACGTGAAATGCTCGACTTGGCACAGCCAAGGAACCCTCTGTCTTCTGCTTTACTCGGTAAACAAATTTCAGAGAGTTAGATATAGCTATTAAAAAATCAAGCAAAGAACCAATCAAGATCAAATGAAATTATTATACATAAATAAAATGTATAAATGTTTTCACACCTGATAAGAACATCGGAAGCGATTGGCAAGGCCGCCTTTTTGAAGGAAAAAGGCCATTTCTTTGAGATTTTCAGAGATCAGATTGAAGAAAAAATAAAAATAAAAATTAGCTGCGGGATATATCGAGCGAAGCAGACTGCCAAATGGGCTTTTGCCAAAATAATTTAATAACAAGTTTTTGCATGTATACCCCTACAGTTTTCATATTATTATTTGTAACCAATATGTTTTTTTTTCTTGATTTTCATCACTTGGGTTGTGGGCTATGACAGTTCTGACGTTGGCTTCCTGAGTTCTTGCCATGTGTTTTTAATATTGGTGAATATGCGGTTGCCACGTGTACAAAGAACCTCGTGGTCGTTTTTAAGGTTGATGAAGAAACGAAGTGACGATTAGAACGGAAAACCCAATATCAAATGCAGTATGGCGTTGAGAGGGGCTGCCGTTGCTGGTGCCTGTGTTGTAAGACAAAGAACCACCCCCATCTCTCCTTTAATTTTCTCAAAATTTCAGAGTACGACTCCATCATTCCCCTTCACATCCTCTTCAAGATTCACATCTTATCCTAACTGCAAAACTGGTAAGGATGCCGTTCACTTTCGTCCTTCTTCTCACTCTTAATTTTGTCATCTATTCTAGTCATGTTTTGTTTGCTGGGTCACTTTTTGATGATCTTTTTTGAGGTTTCATTTTTTTATTATTATTTTTTCTATATATGCATGCTAGTTTCCATTCATTTTGATTAGCATATTCTTAAAAGGATGTGGGAGTTTGATTTGTTATCAACTTTGGTACATTTTCTTTCCAGGATTTAAATATCAGATTCGGGCAATACAGGAGGCAACTGCAGATACTACAACATCCCCGAAAGGAAAAGGAGATGATGAACAGCAATCCCCTCAAAATTGGAAGATTAAAATGCTTTATGATGGAGATTGTCCGCTTTGCATGCGTGAGGTATACTCTGAAATGACTACTGTAGGAATTTGGAATACCATACCACTCCATATTTCTTGCTTATGTTTGCTTATGATATATTTGGTGTTCAATAGTTTTTTTTACTCTGTTTACTATTTCTTTTGTTATCAGGTTGATATGCTAAGGGAGAGGAACAAGCAATATGGCACTATCAAGTTTATTGACATAAGTTCTGATGATTATTCTGCCGAAGAAAATCAAGGATTGGACTACAAAACTGTATGTTCATGATGTAGATGTTTGTTAATTGTTATGAGAAGTTGACTATTTTGGAGGCAACCTTTTATTTTTTTTTTCATGGGTTATTGAACCCCTTTTTGATCAATTTCAAATAAGTCTGCCATCTGTGTGTGATCAGTTTCTAATGCGGAAAATCTAAGAAATAAAATGGTGTAGAAAATTGAGAATAAAACTAAATGTATATTGAAAAATTACTCATAAAAAATTATATAAACACCTTAGGTTTATATACAACTAACTACTTGGTAAACTAGGAAACTAAATCTTCATAAAACTGATTCCTATAATTGATGGATTGTCTATCCTAATTTTTTTTCCTTAATTCTAGGGATACAAATACTTAATTCTAGAAATACAAATATAGATATATAGATTACAAGATTACAACAAGTCGTAAATAAATGTTTTCCCACACTCCCCTTCAAGTTGGTGAAAAGGTGTTTTTCTATTTCCAGCTTGGAAATAATTTTTTGAAATGTTGCACTGTTGAGACCTTTAGTCAACATATATGCAAATTGACTCTTGGTTGATACATATGGTTTACAAATCAACCCACACTCTAGTTTCTCCTTTATAAAATGCTAGTCTACTTCAATATGTTTTGTTCTGTCATGTTGCATAGGATTGTGTGCAATGTTTATTGTAGACTTATTATCATAGTAGAGTCTCATTGGTCCATCCCACTTGATTTTTAAGTCTTCTAGGATAATCTTTAATCATAATAATTCACAAATTCCTTGAGCCATTGCTATGAACTCTGCTTCAGCACTTAATCTTGCCACCACATTTTGTTTTTACTCCTTCAAGTCACAAGATTACCACCTAGGAAAGTGTAATAGCTTGAGGTGGATCTTCTATCAGTTACTAAACTTGCATAATCTGTATTTGTATATGCCTCTAGAACCAAACCTGAATTTCTTTTGAATATGATACATCTCCTAGGATTGACCTTTAAATAGTGCAATACACGGACAGCCTATAGGTGCACTTCTTTAGGACTATGCATAAATTGACTTATCACACTCATAGCAAATGCTATATTAGGTCTAGTATATGAGAGATAAATGAGTTTTCTAACTAATCTTCATTGGCTTCTTTTATGATTAGGATTTATAAGGGTATTTGTAGGTTTACTCGTTAGCTTCCCAGTTTCTTTTGAAAGATCCATCACATATTTCTGTTGTGAGATGAAAATACTATGCCGTGAGTGAGCTACTTCAATTCCTAGGAAGTACTTCAATCTCTCCAACTCTGTTATCTTAAATTCTCTAGCCAAACATTGTTTTAGAGATTCGCTTTCTTTTTCATCATCTTCAGTTACAACTATCATCAGCATACACTAATAGAACTGTGACTCTCCCTGAATTAGAGTGCTTGATAAATAATGTGTGATCTCCTTGACTCTGCTTGTGTCCCATTGCTAGGATCACTTTTGCAAATCTCCCAAACCAAGCCCTAGGAAACTGTTTAAGGCCGTATAAAACCTTTTTCAGCTTGCATACTTTGTTTGCTTTTAGATAACCTCTAAATCCCAGTGAAACTTTCATATGTATTTCTTCTTCCAAATCATCATGTAGAAAAGTATTTTTTACATCAAATTGTTTAAACTGCCAATTGTAATTTACAACCAATGATAACAAAATCTTAACTGTATTTATCTTGGCAACTGAAGCAAAAGTTTTCTGATAATCCACTCCATAAGTTTGAGTGTAGCCCTTAGCCACCGACATGACTTTATACCTTTCAACAGTACCATCCGCTTTGTATTTTATAGTGAAAATCCATTTACACCCAACTAATTTTTTCCTTTAGGCAACTTTACCAGTTCCCATGTCTTATTTTTCTCTAAAGTCTCCATTTCTATTTCATGGCTTGCTTCTATTTCTCACTGGATAATGCCTCGGATAAAGTAGTTGGAATAGAAATAGTGTTTAAGCTCATAAGGTAATTTTTGTAGGATGGTGAGAACTTTTTTAATGACACAAAATTAGAGATTAGGGATAGCGGATGCTTAGTACATTCTTTGGTTCCTTTCTTAATGACAATAAGCAAATTATAATCACTGGTTATAGTTTTAGAAGATTCATGCTCATTTTAAAGAAATAGAGTCAAAGACTGTAGTTACCTCATTTTCAGAATTAGGATAAGATTTTTAGACTTGCACTAGTTTAGGATCTGGAACTTTCCTTCTTGAATACACATGTAATTCCTTCATAGAATCAAGAACAATATTATCTTTTGTCACATCTTTTGTGTTTGGAATGGGTTTAGACTCAAATTTAGTATTTGACTTCGACTCAGAAGAAACGGGTTTAGACTCAGAAAAATTAATGGGTGAAAATGTTGAAGAGAAGGACAAGTCAAGCAAAAAGAAGTCTTTATCCTTATCTTCCATAAATGAAGTCTCCCTTTATAGATAAGGTTGAGTAAAAAATGGTTTACTTTCTTCAAAAGTGACATCTGTAGACACATAGACTTTTTGGTAGGAGAATGATTGCACTTATACCCTTTTTGAGTTGATGAATACTTCACAAAAAATGCACTTAATTGCTCTAGGATCCAACTTCCCTCTATTATGACTATGAACATGAACAAATGATGTACAACCAAATATCCTAGAGGTTGTTTGTGGTATTAAAGTTGAGATAGAATTGTGATAGTAGTTCCATAGGAGTTTTAAATCCCAAAACCCTTAAAGGTAAACTATTTATAATGTGTGTGACAGTGATGACAGCTTCCCCTAAATAGGATTTGGGTACATTTACTTGAAAAAGTAAAACTCTGGTTGTGGCTAATAAATGACTGTTTTTTCTTTTTGTCACTCCATTTTACTATGGAGTATTAACACAAGATGATTCATGGATAAGCCCCTCCTTTTGAAAATAGGTAGATAAACCCTGGTTAAAATAGTTTGTTGCATTATCAAACCTAAATTTCTTGATTTTCACTTCAAATTGATTTTAGATCATGTTTTGAAAGCTTAAAAACATACTATTGACATCTGATTTGAATTTAAGTAAAAATATTAAAAAGCATGGTAAAATCATCTATGAAAGAAACAAACCATTTTGCACCAGAAATATTAAGAATTGTATAGGGACCCATATGTCACTACGAATCAAGTAAAAAGAAGTAGAACTTCTTTTATAAAGTAAAAGACGAAAATGATAAAGCTTGATTTTGTCTTTATTGGGAGATTTTTCAAAAAGAAATGACAAAGGTAAACTATTCTTGATATTACTTGTGTTGCTTAATGTCTCAAGATAGTATAGTCCGTCAATCTTTTTAGCAAATCCAATCTTCTTCCCCGAACTTTGGTTCTGAAATTCACAATAAGAAGGATAAACAATCACTTTGCAGTTTATGTCTTTGGTAAATTTTTGCCTAGATGTTAGATTTGTAGACAATCCAAGAACATGATGAACATTTTTAAGAACAAACGAGGGATTAATTTGAACGTCACCTAATCCTACCATTGTAGTAAGTGAATCATCTGCAACAATAATTTTCTTATTACTAGGACAGATGATATATGTACTAAACTTCTGGAATGAATGTGTCATATGGTTTGTGGCTCCCGAGTCAATGACCTAAGAATTTGTAATAGGTTGAATCGAGACATTTAATCCATGAGAACCAAAAGCTTTACCTGAACTAGAAACCCTACCCAAGGAACATACCTCATTAGGCCTTTCAAGAGTTTGGAATAGGCTTCTTAGTTTCTCATCTCTTTTCTGTCCAATGCTCTTTGTTCTTGAGACTTCTGTAGTACTCCGGTGGTTTTACCAGTTGTTATTTCTTCAAATCAGGTAGTAGTGGCAGATCCTACTATCTCTAGCATAGTTATCTTTTTTAGGACTGAAACGAGTCTTGATGGTAAAAGTTTAACCAGAGATGATTCTAGGCAATGAAAGGCCAAAGAAGGAAAAAATAAAATTGAAGTTATGTTTGGATAAATATTAGTAAAAGAAAGGAAATGAAAGTAAAGGAAAGGAAGGTTTTTTAAAGGAAAGGAAATGATATATATACCCTTTGTTTGGATAGCCAAAATTAATAAAGAAAAAGAAAGTAAAGGAATCCTAACAATCATTGTTTGGTTAAATAATGGAAAGGGAAGGAAATGATTTATTATATTATTTTTTTTCTGATTATAACCTTTGATAATATTTGTTTTTACTGTAACATTTACATGTTTGTGTTAACATATTCCATCTTTTAAATTTTCCTTTATTTCTTCATAAAAATAATTATTAATGAAATTTATGGAATTCATAAAAATAAGAGAAAAAAATTAGAGATAATAAATTTATTGGTAAATGATGTTTTGTATTCTTAATCTAATTTTGGAGTTCAAAATGATACAGTTTTAATTTAGAGAAATTAATAAGGATATAATAGTCATTTTATGTTTTAAAATTTTTATTCTTTTCCTTTCCCTTCCTTTTCCCCCAATTTGAGGTAATTAAACGATGAAGAAAGTTGAGGGAAACCAAAGGGAGCTAAATATACCTTCCTTTCCTTTATTTTTTTTTAATGTCATATACAAACAAGGGAAAGGATTCCCCATCTCCTTTTGTTTCCTTTCCATTCCTTTCCTTTCTCCCCCTTACCTCAATCCAAACATAGACAGAAAGATTTAACAAGATTTGGTTATAAAGGCCTGAAATAAAATTCAGCAATGAAGGCTGAAAAAATTTTCTTCTCAAGAAGAGCCTAAAGCTTTGATTCCATATGAAAAAACTAAGAGTAAAATTGAATGTATATTGAAAAGCTGCTTATAAAAAATTATACAAGCATCTTAAGTTTATATACAACTAACTAGTGAGTAAACTAGGAAACTAAATCTTCATAAAATTGATCTTATAATTGAGAGATATTGTCTATCCTAATTTTTTGTCATTAATTCTAGAGATACAAGTATAAATAGATAAATTACAAGATGACAACCAGCTATAAATGAGTGTTTTCTCACAACTAGGAATATGATTGATATTCAAATATGGAATTTGAATAAGTTCTGTTTTTTGTTTAGGTTATGGGAAGAATTCATGCCATTCTCTCTGATGGAACTGTTGTCACAGATGTCGAGGTGTGACTTTCTTAATTTTAACAATGCTCTAATCGTGGATTGTGAACTTTTTCTTGTTTGTTATTCTAACCTTGTTCTGCAGGTATTGTTAGCCAAATTTGCTGAATGTTGTTATGAGAAAAACATTTGCTAGAGTTATAAATTGTTGGACTGAAATATAAATGAAAGTAAAGGATAAAACTATTGTAATGAAGAGGAAAGAAAAAAAATTCAACTGAGGTATATGAACTTTGAATCTGAAAGTTGCAAGCCAGCATTTCTTTTGATAGTTGGAGTCCTGAATGCTGTTTAGGATGTCGAAGCAGGTTATAATAAGTGATCACTACAGGTATAATATGTTCAAGCAGTGTACAAGTTTCTATAGGCATACAAGGGGTGCTTACTTGGGCAAGACGGTTTAATTAAAGTACTATCAAATGCTATTATATTTAACCACAAGCTGACCAGAGTATAGTGTTAAGATATCTTTAATTGAAGCTGGTTGCCTTTACCCCTTATTTCCTTCTTTTTTTTTTTTTCCTTTAATGTTACATCTGCTTTTTTATGGATTGGGGAGCACAGTGGACAGGACGATACAATTTAAAGCATTATTTATGCTACTGATGATTTGCAGGCATTTAGAAAATTGTATGAGCAAGTTGGTCTTGGATGGGTTTATGCCATTACCAAATATGAACCTGTAAGCTTATTCTTTCTTATATTACTTGTAGTTCCAGTGATTTGCTAGTCTTTCAGAAACTTGTAGTTTCAGGAAAAATAAAGATTTTCCTTGTACATCAGTGGCTAATGCATGCCATAATCCGCAGATTGCAACAATTGCTGATTCCATCTATGGTGTTTGGGCTAAATATCGTCTTCAAATTACTGGTAAACATATGCTGCATTTAAAATTCTGTATTCTATCTCCTTTCAGTTTCATTCAGGCCAAAAAATGAAAATTGAAATTCTGAGTCTCTGTTCTTAGCTTCCGTTGCCAAGTATAGTTAATTTGTACAGTTAATATTTGGTTACAGAATTGCACCATCATACTAACCTACATGTCAAAATCTGTCGCCTTTTGAAATTAAAGCATTGAGAGTGGAAGTTAATGCAATTTTATCTCTAGAATTCTTTATCTTTATGTTAAAAGTTTCAAATGCTGGCTTGTGAGATTTTATAGGGATCTCATGTTTGAAGGATTCCTGTTCTTGTTTCAGGCCGGCCTCCGTTAGAAGAGATCTTGGAGACACGAAGAAAGAACAAGGTATGCATACAGTAACTGTATGAGGTACCAAGGTTCTATCATGTTGAAAGCAAAATAAATTAGCTGAATAGCATGCATGCATAAGATGTTGGCCTTTTGCTCTATCTCATTACAAGCAAGGTTTTCTTTTTTTGTGTTTGTTTATCATATCAACAAACAGATGTCATTCAAATATATGAATTGATGATTGTTTTGCTTTCCACATTAACTCTTTTTAGATTTTCAGACGTTCCCACCTTTGAAAGTAAAAGTGCCCCAGTCCTCTAACCGTGCCGCTTCTTACAAGTTAAACCTATGCATATGTTTTGACTTTTGAACACCACAGTGTGAAACACTATTGTTGTTGGTGATAACTCATAACTGTGGCAGGAATTTCATGCTATGCTGTGAAGAACCTTTATTTTTAGGCATCAGTTATCAGGTCCTTGTTCTTATGGTGCTTTATATTTAAAAAATCCCAGTTAACTGAAGTTATGAATTAAAATCCATCTTCCAATCCAGCCTGATGGGCACAAATTTATTTAAACTTCAACCATTATAAGACCATGAAATGAACAAACTGAAAGATATATTAACTTTCTGTCCGGTAGGAAGTACAAGAGAAAGATATATCTTGTGATTTTATCATGTTGTGTCCCATGTTTCACAAATGTTTAACTAACTGTTTGGCTTTATTCTTTCCTCACAGGCTGACGTGTGTAATGACAACACCACTTGCAAGATGTGAAGTATCCTATGAATTGCTGATGAAAGGTCTTAATGTAACTAATTTCATACATATCTTTTTCAAACTTTATCCTTATATGACCTCACACTCTTAACTTCCAACACACATACTATTGTCCTTTTGCAAATGGTCACATTCAGTACAAATGTAAATTTTCAATCTTCTGCATATTGTTAATGTAATTGGAATATTCGATTACTCTATAATAAATTCTTGCATTTATACAAGGTTATTCCATTTTGCAGCAAATTTCCTCAGGTATTTGTTAGTAAAGTTCAGGTACATGAAACCAACCTCTCTCCCTTTCATTTTCCCTCCCAATCCCATTCCTTCTTATCAAGCATAATTTAAGTTTCTGAAAGCAAACTTCAGAGCCTTAGATCAGATGATCACCTGGTAGTCTCTATTACAGCCAGATTACTTGTAGTTGTAGAGTGAATATTTCATTTAGCTACAAAAGCTCTGAACAAAAGCCAGAATCCAGTTAGTTACCTCACTTTCCAGCGCTTCGAAGGAGTTGCAGAAAACCCAATCATTTTCATCCAGAGTTCTAAGTTTGTCCAAGGTCAGTACTGGTAAAGAAGCAGAGTGAATTGTAGTCGGAAAAGTCAAGAGAAGGCAGGCCACGCATTGGGGCTGCTAAGGTTTCTTGTTTCACAGGCAAAGTCAAGCGCCCTTGATGGATTTGCAATAAAAGGAGAGCACCATAGCTGAGTTTGTTGACATTATAGCTGCATAGACGCCGAGTTCTTTAGCTACATCAGGAGCCCAAGACAGTAATGAATCATAGACAATGGAACTACCTGGTGTCCTTCAGGTGTTGAATTTCACTATCAGCTCTACCAAAGTTCTAGGCCCAACTATTTTGAAGGACTCCAAGTAGGCTTCTAAACTTGGAGCTTGCTTGAAGTCTCCTTCATCAAAGCCATCAGAGATTGGTTCGATGGCGATAGTGCTGTTTGCTTGGTATAAATATTTAGAATGTTAATATAAGTTATATTTTTTAATGTTTTAAAATAAATTTAATTGGAACAAGCTTAAATGAACCTAAGTAGTACAACCAGGCCTTGAACAAGGTTCTAAAGATGTAAGACGGGCCTGTCCCAACCCTGGACATAGTTCAAATCAAGGTTAATATTATAAATGATCTATAAATTGTAGTAAAATATTTAATATAATAAATGAATTTAAAATTTTTTAATATGATACATAAATTATAAATTTTAATTAATATGATTATTTATCTATTTTGGATTATCATTTGAAGTTAATCGTGATAAAAAATGAGTATAACATTAATCAATAAATTTATAATTTATATAATAAATTAAAATTTTTAAAATTTAAATATCATAATAAATATTTTACTATAATCAAGGAGACATAGCAAGAGAAGACGTATTAAGCAGAGCATGCATAACACTTTCAATCTATAAAACCAGCATTGAAGATTTTATATTTGGACTCACTCAATAGACCATATGTTCAAAACATGGTACTATTTGCAGAGGCTTTAGAGTCTTTAAGCAGAGCCCAAGAAAGGAAAAAAGAGGGGTGTTGAACCATTGAAAACTGCTGCTGGTGGTGCTCATAAACAATAGATAAGAATGCAATTTGTTTCCAGTTATCAAGCAAAATACACGGCGGATTTCACTTCACGGTCCATGCTACGATTGAAGCAACTATAATTTTACAAAAACAAAAAGATCTGCAAATTTCTGTGAAGCGCATCTATATATTGACAGTTTAATATGATACATGGGTGCATTTTCCGACATCCAACAAGAACAAGGATTTATAAACGAGCAGCTCTATCGACATAGAGCGACACTTCCAACTTGTTGAATTCTATAACTGCAACCAAAATTTAATAGGGTTGCAGTTGGCTACCGCTACTATTTGCAACCGTACCCGTAAAAATATTACAGTCTTCTGCTGTATCTCAGACCTAGAAATTTTTCTTTAACTTTTCTTTTAATATGGAACCATTTCAGCACACTGAAAACCTTGGTCCATCTCCTCTGTGCTTGAACAGCAACAGTACGTTGCAAAAGTAATCCATCATCGGCTGTTTGTAGATCAGCTTGTGATTCCAAACCAAGGCTCTGTGATTGAAGATCATTATCAAAAAATTGAAGATGGTCTTCATCACAGAATGTCTGAGTAATATCTGTGTTACAGATCAGGGAATCAGTGAGTTGGCCAGGATAACTCAAAGTTTGGTCGTATCTTAGACCCATGCTTTCAATACCAGGCAGGGCATAATCATCTAAGCCACTCATATCCCCAACTGAATAGATGGTTGAAATGATATCAGGAGAAGAAGCACATGGTTGAGCAAAATCAAATCCACTCGTCTTTTGAGAGGCCGAAAACTTGCTGCCATTGGAAATCTGTGTCTTGGCTGAGCTTGTGCAAGAATAATTAGCTGAAGAAGCACCTATGAGAGAGGCTTCATCATCAAAAGAGGTAACTTCTTCCCAGTGTTGGAATGCAGAAATTACCAAGCTTTGAGCTTCAATCTGGTGGCGGAGCAGATAATCAGAACCCATGTGATGACAAAAGTAAAATAAATTAAAAAAAATCAGATGAGATAAAGGAAGTGTGCCTTCTCAGTTTCTGACAGCTTATCAATTGTAACATAGTGGCATTCTGAAAGTAGTCCTGTCACTCGTCCCACAATGTTGAAGACCACACCAAATTTCTGTTGAGAACCAGGAGGGCAGTACAAGTGTATCCTCTTATCAAGCACACATGTTCGAGCATGCTCCACGGTGACTTCCCACATCTTAGCAGACATACCTGTGCCGAGGATCTACACACATCCCAAGAAACAAATATTCTTGCTATTAGCATTTTACCATCATCAAAATCCTAACTTGAAGCAGTTAAAGCTGCTTAAGTTGATGAATAGTCAACATGAAACCTAGTAAGACTAGGACAAAAGCATGGATCTTTAGTGATGCTAGGTTACATTTAATTTTCCAATTTACATCCTTATTAATTATAACTGATGAAAAGAACATCCCGGTTGCAGTTTAGTAAAAATTAAACATTGATGAATGCAGACATAGGGTCCTACACAGAAAACAGCAAAAAGTTGAAAGTAAACGTAATCAAAAGATTATGGGGATACATATCCAACTAACTAGCTTTTTAAGGTATATAATTCACAAACGAATTCATGCAGTCTAAACCTATGGCATTCCCAACACAGTTCCCTTCTGAAGGCTATGGAAACATGCTCAGAGGCTCAAAGGCTCAAAGTTAAGGCTTGACTTAAAACTGATTAAACACCAGAACATTTTAAAGCTTTTAAAAACAAAGGGGCTACCACATTATTAGGGACAATTAAGTAATTGAATCTGTTGTCTTCTTTCTAATTTTGATGCTAATGCCAGTAATCGAGGACGTTTGAAGAAAGATGTTAAGAAACTGGAATCCTTCATAAGAATTCTACGCGGTGTACGAAAAGAGGGATAAAGCAGTAGTCTCACATGTCGCAGCCTTGGAGGATCTATAAAGAGCATGGTCAAGAAATCCTTTACAGTGTTGATATTTTCCCGACTCAAGCGCTTATGGAAAGCCCCATCTTTGCCAATTTTCTCTAATCTCCACACTTCATCAGAAAGAGATGGAGGATGGTGCTTCTTGTATACTGCAACCAGAAACCGAAAGCTGAAAAAGAGTCTCTTCTAACTTCTATCTGTTTCTTATAATTACTTACTTAAAAACCACTATGTCAATGGATATACAAATTCTAAAGAAAACAACCAAAAAGAAAAGAAAAAAGAAGGCCATGTAGCTTTTCTTTTTCTCGTTGTGATTGGAATCCTAAAGCTAATTTGGATCTTTTTAAGACTAGATTAAAAGTGTAGAAAGTTAGAAGGAGAACAATACATAGAATTCGTTCAACACCATGATAACATCACTTTTGGAGTGATTGTCACAAAACTATAAAATATGAATTACAGCAATATAAGAATTTATATTTTAACATTGCACTAACCAACACAACTCAAAGAAACAAAATTCCATTTTCTTAGCCTGAAAAATTTTTAGATCTTGAAAACATCTTAATCTAAGCAGAAGTGTGCTATATAATAAAGAGATACCTACTTATCAAAAATGGATTAATAAATAAGTACTTACATTCACCACGATGATCCCTGACAATGAAGGATTCTGTCTTTGCTTCTCTTACCCTAGTTCCATCGGAACCATCCACAACTCTTGCACCAAGTCTGAAACGACGGCTTCTTGTCCAGCTTGAATTATCTGTAAATGAAATCTCACCCGCTAATCCGATGCCCTCGATAAGAGTTAGACATACATCTCCGGTAAGAAGAGGTTTCTTTCCTTCTCTCTCTCTTACAATGTTATTCTTAAACTCTTCAAGTGTCCAATTGTCCGCCTCATCACCATCAAAATCTCCCTCGAGGACTACAACTTCTACTTTGGCAGAAGCCTCTGGGCCGGAGGAAACTATTTGTCCGGTAAGAGCATCAACCATAGCCACCTTAATGGCAGAACACTCTTCTGCCTCGATTCGAGCTCCAGTGAACACAGGAAGAGAGAGATTATTTAAGAATTGCAGTTGTAAGCTTCTTGATTCGGTAGAATTTACCTCCTTTCCACCATCCCTTAAAACAAAAAAGGAGCAGAACCGCATGGTTTAGCATACAATGAAGTTAACACAGCTTTCTGGCAGAAATATTTCTAATTCATATCTTTTTGCTTCCTTCTTTGAATAGAATTTGTACCTTTTCATATTGTTAAAATGCTTTCTAAGAGCCACTTCAACTTCCTCTTTGACCTTCAAAACATAAGATAAGTGACGTAGATCCAATTTGACATATTCAATTATTTTTTTAACAAGTATTGTGCATAAACAAGAACGACGAAAAGATTTGGGAGCTTGCCACCAATAGATAAGAATACAGGTTTTTGCTCCCTTTTTCTGACAAAACTTTGAAATTAGATGCTAGACACCATAGCATGGGAATTTACAAAGATATAGAAAAAACTTCAGGAAAAATAAAATACAACTCTATTTGACAGAATGTCCACTTATTGAGGCAAAAATAATAGCATTGATATAACATTTCATGCTACAAAGACTTGTTCATTAAAAACATTCATAGAAAGGCTGAGTGAAGCTGCCAAAAGAATTTGTTGAACTGAAAAGCATTAAAGAAATGTCTATATGAAGGACTTAGAGTCGAGTATCAAGGTTCAATCGTTTTAAAATAGCCAACTGTTCATTTACTATGACAAATTCGGTTCAAACCTTCAGTTTTGTTTTATCATGCTTGCTATCTGATCTGAAAGCTCATGCAGAATAAATAAAGAAAAAGACAGCTAACTCAAGGAAATATGCTCGAAAGACCAAAAACAACCAACTTCTTTGCAACTCATTAAGGAGCACGTGGTGCAACAAATCTTAAAGGCTAAATTAAGAACGTTTGGCTGAACGTATATGTTAAATAATATCTTAAAAAAGATACACCACCTTCAATCTATCACAGTTTTAAAATTAAAGATCATCTTGATTTAAGTGAGGAAATCTGAGTCTGGACTTTTGTTAGGATCCAAAAAGAATAAAAGAGTGTAATTGAGATGGAGCAAGAACCTGAAAGTTCTTGCACTTAGTTTTCAAAATTGTTAAAGTCTATAAACCATATGAAGCCTTAAAAGGATTGGAGTAGAACAAGTTAACAGGGATTATCTACTGCTTTCACATGATTTAGACTTTTCCAGTACCACCAGAAGAGGCCCAACCACCATGAAGCTGTAGGAGACACTTAGTGCTACACACTTTTTTTATAGTCATAGATTTTGAGGTTCACATGTGAGTGTACTATCCTACATCACTTAAAAGTGAGATGTAAAAGTGCCATATGTACATGGAGGATCCAAAAACCCGTTTGCTAAGGTTTTTGGGTTCAAGTGGCGTCCAACATGTATGTATAGTCCCTTTGGTGTGCTCCTCAAGGACTTAAGCTTTGGCTTATTTCCCCAACAAAGAGTATGAAGTTTAGACCCTCCAAATATAAGGAAAAACTTAAGAAAAAATTGAACATGCCCATGTTGATTTTGGACAAATAATTGTATCCGAATTTCACTCCTGAGTCGAAGCAGCATACACTTCAATAACTGCTAAAAGTAAATGTCACCAGCCATTAAAGGACACAGGACATGGTAATTTTATGATTTCAATTCTTGAGAAAGGCAGCATTCCTCGTTCTTACAACCTTTATTGTGACATTGAAGCTCCATAACGTGAGAAGATGTACTATGAACATATACTTCTAACTTCATTGTTAAATGAGATAATATGACAAGATTTTAATCAAAAAAAGGGCTGAATAGGGAGCCAAGCTTGCTAACACTCTCTCTACTATGTGAATAAAAATCTAAACTTTTTTTCTGGAAAATGAAATAAAATAATGTAGGAGCATTTCTGAAATAACATGATCAAAGGAAGAAACGTACCACCCTACGAATCAATGGCTCCAAAACTGGCTCAAGCAAATGCTGGACTGATTGCAATTTCATCACCTCTTGAACCACACTACCATAGTTTACAAGCAGATTAGCAACGAAACAAAACAAACACTATAAAATGATACATAATATTACATGGATTGTATTACCAATCATCACAAAACATGAATAGGAGGAGTAAGTTTGATAAAGCATGTGCACTTGAGATAACAACTTTAGAGCATCTCTCACTGTGCTAACATATCATTCAGAAATCAGAAGAAAAACCCATAACCCCATTGAACAAAAAAGGCTCATGGAAGTCCACAATAACAAATCGCAACAAAATGAAGTCCATAAAGGGCAAACCACATTCAATTAAGCCAAAACAAATGCCTAATTCAGTTCTCTGATTGGTTTCAACGTTAGCAGAGGATTTTAATCATACAAAATGCCAACAACAACTTTACTGACCATGTCATAAACTCAGTTGAAATATCCACTCTTGTATTCACTTCAGCTTAAGAATTTCAATCATATTAAATACATGCAAATCACATTAACCAAGATTTTCAATTAAACCAGTGAATGAGCAAATTGTTTTTTTCGCATTAACCAAGATTCTCATGTCATAAGGATCAACCAACAACATTCAGTAATTAATTTTTCCTAACAAGAAAAACCCAATTAACTTCTCATTTCTTTTATTTCGTTTCAACATATAGATATCAACAAGCAAAAGAAGAATGAAAATTAAGGTAAGAAAGGAAAGGCATGTACTTTCTCAAGGTTGGAACCCTTCTCCGTTTATCCTGATCAGGACTATGCCCTCCTGAGGGTCGGGCCTTACCATCTTCCTGGGGCCTCTTCTGTGACATTATTACTACTATTAACTCCAACAACAAAAGCACCCCAAAAGACAAGCGGCTTGGATGGTGGGCAACGATGACGATGAGGTTCATTAACAAACACTAAGACAATAGCAGCCAAAGAACCCTACATGCACCACTTAAATTGAAAATGAAACCAGCAGGCAGCAGGAGAAGTATATGCATATATATTTATATATATTATTCTTTCATCAATAATGCTAATCGATGAGTAAAATCCAAAACCAGAAAAGAAAAAGAAAACAAAAGGAACCCAACACTTATAACCGTTTTTCCAATCTCATTTTCCTATCTATTGTCAGAATTGGCGGTGTCTGGGATGCTTCTTCGCCGTGAAACTCTTTCACCATCTTTCCTTTTTCTCTCGTTTCTCTTTATCTCTCTTCTTTGAGTTTGACTGCAACGGTTGCTGGGTTTCTGTACCTCAAGGATTTTTGTCTGTGGGACCCGACAAAGCGCGTTTGGACTCCGAAAAAAAAACGAGGGGGTCTCGCTATAAATGCAATCCTTTTATTATAAAAAATTAAATGATTTTCCTCTAAAAAAAATATAAATTAATTATTAAAAATGATAACCAGATTTAATCAGATTCTATGATTTTTTTAAATAATATATGATATCATAAATTTCTTAAGGTCAATCTAAATTTAAAATCAGTTAAATTTAAGTGAAAATTTTATCAATTAAGTTGGTTCTTCGATTTTTTTAATTAAATTTTTTTTGTTTTTATATTATTTTAATATTTTAAAATAAATTTAAATAAAAATAATATTTTATTTTATAAAAATTTAAAATATATAAAAAACTTATATATAATTTAATTCAATTCAATTTTTTTTAATTTTTTTCTTTTAATCCATAATTTTATCTAAATTTAATATATATTTAATATTTCAACTTAATTTAAATAAGTATACTTATCCGAACCAAATATCTTAACTTCAAATCGATTTATAATTTTTTTTTAATGTTTTCATCTCTACATATTATATATTGACTTTGGTTAGTACGTTGAATTGGGGGGCCACTAATTTTACTTTGTGGGGTCCACTTAGAAGTCGGTTACATCAGATTTTTCCGATAGTTATCTAATCCAAGTGCCTCATACCCGTCTTTATCATGTAACTCACTTTGGGAATGTCTATCCACGATTTCTTTTGTAGACAGCGACTAAATTGGTGAGTTGACAAGAAATGAATTAGATATTTTATATCCTATAAATGGAAGTTATTTCTTTTGTTGATACCTATCTTCTGAGGATGAAATGGGGATTTTGAAATTGATAAAACATGAATTAGACATTTTATGACTTTTAGGGCTCAATTGTTATGAAGTTGGCATTTTTAAGTTAATAAGAGATGAATTAAACATTTATGATTTTTAGGACTCAATTGTTAGGTTGTCATTCATTTTAACATTTTTAGTCATATTCAAAATCTAAATTAAAATTCAAAAGGTGATTTATTTGTGACGTATTAATTTCTAATAATTATGTTTAATTATTTTCATATTATTATTATTATTATTATTAATTTAAAATCAAGGAAGTTAGTTAGTATATTACGTAAATAAATAAATAATTAATAAATTAAAGATAAAAAATGATTGTTAAAAAATCTTTCGTTGTTGAAAAAATATTTTCATTTGATAATGAATTAGAAAGTGGTAAGTTGAAATTTTCATTTAATTATAAGTTATTTCAATAGAATGAGCGTGATTCATATTGCTTAAACATATATATATATTTATGAATTATATATACTATTAAAATGAATTTGTAAAAAAAATAATATCAAAGTAAACCTCCAACTTAATTGAAATAAAATCAAAATTATGTATTGATTACATGAAATTAAAGTCATAATATTAGATAATATAAATGCATGTTTAAATATTTTTAGCAATGAAGTGTATGTCCCATTTTAATTATATACAAAATTCATGATTGGATTGATGTTTATTGGTCTCATTTTATGAATTCAGTTTAAAAATTAATAAAAAAATAAAAAATATTATAGAATAATATAAAATTAAAGATACACATGTTGATTCACTTTAAAAAAAAAACCCACTTAAAAATAATACACTTGTCTATGCATTTTTTTAATTTAAAAATACAATTTTATTTAGAAATATTATTTAATATTGAATGTGTTAAATTCTAATATAAATTATGATGGAAAAGTCATATATTGTAATAATTTTTAGGTAAGGTTACATGAATTTGCACGATACATGCACATTCTAACCATTTAAAAATTAATGGATTATCATCCTTCTTAAGTCTTAATTAATGACGAAGTGTTGAAGATTATATTATTCATTTAATTAGTCCAAGAAAATCAACATCTAATAAGTAAAAATTATTATTCTAAAAATTGGAGATAAAATTTTTAAATTTCACGAGTAATTTAAAAACATTGTTATATATCTTTTTAATCATTATAAAAATTTCTTTTCTTATAAGAGAAGTATGAACCAAGTAATTAAGTTGAAGTAGAGTTATTGATTAGTCGTGTGACTTACGCAGGACTATAAAGCTTCAATTCATACACTAGTTGATGTGTGAGTTTCCTTTCTTTTTCGTTTTTTCTTTTTCTAAATCCTTTCCTGTTGGTTCTTCGTACTTTGATAAGCCTTTTGGATGAAAGAATTTTTTTATGATGAAAGACATCATAAAAGTGCTTTAATCTCACTTTTGAAAACATTTATATTCAATCATTTAAAGAAAAAAAATGTACAAATTTATTTATTTTACTTTCTTTTGTATTTCCTTTCTACCAAATTAAAAAATATATTTTCTTTCCATTTTCTTTTGTTATTCTTCTTCTTTCCTTTCAACTAGACATAAGATGGAGGTATCATATGATGGTTTAAAGCCCAAGATTTCAATCGAAAAAAGAAGATTTTTCCAAGTCCAAGAAGTTAAGGGTCAACGTCAAAATCGAAAGACGCTCACATTTCTTCCCATTTCCTCGAACCTTCCTTTGTTCAACCGTTCTAATCCCAACGACGGACACCTCAACGACCAGTATCTTATTCTTTTATTTTGATCATATGCGGACAAATACATAATCAAAATATATATTAATATATATTTTTATATATGCCAAAGGACACCTCAACGATCAACTTCTTCCCATTTTTTTATTTTTTGTTAATTTTTTTTTATGTTTAATAATTTTTTAATAGATTTTATTTTTTAAAGTGGGATTCTCTTTGCATCAAACTTTTTGGTCAAGATTTCTTATACTTAAATTTTAGTCATATATGGATGAACTGAGTGTCACTTTTTTTTTTTTTTGCTTTCTTTTTTCTTTTTCCTATTTTTATTAAATTTTTTATAGATTTTTTAAGTTGAATCCATTTTAAACAATTTTTTTTATTTTTTTAAGATTTTAAATTTATTTTTAGTGAGACCCATTTGATAGTGTATGCCATAGATTTATTTTTTTCTATTATTTTTTATATATTTAATAAATATTTCTCAAGATTTTAAAGTTCTTTTTTGTCTCGCCGATGCTAAGGGAATGTCATATGTCAAGTTTTTTTTTTCTTTTAATCTTTTTTTTTTATCATTTTTTATTATTTTTTTAAATATTTATATATTTTTACAATATTTTACTTTGAGACAAGTAGAGTAGATATTTGATTATTTTGTTTTTAAATAATATACCATAAGATGGGTCGCATATTAAAAAAAAAATAAGCTCAAGTTAGAAATATATTTAAGGTGATTTGCTTTGATCTATTTCAAGGTATATATAAAATATATATTTTTTATTATTTATTTAATTTTATACATATATATGTATTATATATTAATAAAGTTATTTTTTATCATAATTATATAAATTAATATTTTTAAACTCAATATGGAGTGTCAATGTGACATCCTCTGTGAGCTATTTTCCTCTTTTTTATTTATTTTTTAATTTTTTAATTTTTGGTATTTATTTTGAGTGATAAATTTATGAAAAGCTAAGACCAATTAAGGTATTCGTGTATCATTCCCATTTGTTTTTTCATTTTTAGTTTTTTTTTATGTTTTTTAATTAGATTAATTTTATAAAACAAAATACGATGAATAGAGATAACAAAACAAAAAAAAAAAAGTTTACATATGACAATGCACGGACATTTTTTCTAGTATCTTTTGAAAATGGTTCAAAAAACATATGTTTTGAAAATTGATAATTGAAAGATGTTACTACTACATCGTATTAATATCTTTTTGAAACATCCACATCTCTTAAATAAGTGGCTACGGATCCTAGAGTTTAAATATCTTTTGAATTTAAAATTTAAATTAAATGTTTAAGCAATTATCTTAAAAAATGATATTCAATAATTTAAAATTTAAATTCTAACACCTACAATTTCTTTTGCTATTTTTCTTATTTCTAAATTTCTACCTTTTTATAAAAAAAAAAAAAAAAACTATAAAAAAGAAGAATAAGCTAAGGTTATACCATTCATATATTTATATGACATTACTGTTTTATTATTCACCAAAAATACAATGATCTTTATGGTTTTTCTCATTTTCTTATTTAATTATTCTCAATATTAAATTACTTAATATTATGTTTATAAGTTCATGGATCTCGAGTTCAATAAAAATGTTCATGGATCTCGGAATGCATGCGCTAAAGGGTAATATAGTAATTTTCTTTTATAACAATAAATGCATGAATTAAGGTATGTTTGGTATCATTTTTAAAATTATTATAATAATTTAATCAGTAAAATAATCTATTATTAAAGTCATTTTATTACTTGTTATGTGAAATTATTTTTTTATTTAATTTTAAATTATATAAAATATTAATATTTTTAACATATCGACATATATTTAAAAAAATTCGAGCCCATTAGACCCAATGGGCAAGGCCCTAAGTAAGGATAATGTCTTGAAAAATATGTTGACATTGAAAAGGCCAACCGCTTGGCTCTCGACAAGTCTAGTTGCATGTTTAAAAATTGTGAATAAAAATAAAATATTACAAAATATCATGGATAAGTAACGAAATTTACTCTTACACCAATCATGGACACTCCAATTATATGTTGAAGTATGTTAGCCAACTTTCAAAAAAATTTTTTTTTTTTAATTTGATAGAAGGAAGATTCGAATAAAATTTTTGACTAGATAAATATATATATTTATTATTAAATTAAATACTCGAATGCATTAATTTTTTTAAGAAGTCAATTTTTAAATCTTAATAAAACACAATTCAGAATCAATCTTTTTCCTACTCAAAAATGGTAAATTCAAATTAAATATGCAGTAATTGCTTTCGTTACAGTCCCATCCCTCTACGCCATTTACTTAATTTAGCTATACATGCAAATTAATTGATCGCGTGCTCTATTACATGCCCCTCTACGGGCTTAGACTAACGTACCACTTGCGTTCCACAACATGTTAGATAGGAAATTTTTTTTAAATTTTTACATATTGCCCTTTGTAACTCGTCATAACATCCATCAACAA